TTCTGGTCCTGGCCAGGGATCAATTAATTTGTATTTTATTGAGAGAAGGTATTCTCCTTTGCCATTCACTTTTTATAATTAATCACAGTGACTGTAAATAATGTATTTGAAAGTTAATAGAACGAGAGAATTAATGCAAAAAAATTCATAGATTTAATGATCAGGTAGACTTGTAAATAATAAATAAATAAAAATGAGACAAATAACTTATCTCATTAAATGTTCTTCAAACAATATGCGGTTAAAAGTAGTACAGAAGAACTAATAGTTTGTTGATAGTCTGCATGGTGATAGTGATAAATGGGGGATAGATTAGAATTTAATGTACGAGTTGTTACTGAATACTAGACTAATTATTTCGTTGCTCCTGATCATCCTATTTCTCTGACAACAAAGCTTCATCTATCAGTTTATTTTATACTCTATGGATCCTCTAAATTGTTGTATTATACTCAGATGACTGTAAACGCCCTTGGGCCTCTTGTTATTACATGTAAATGAAATTATTGATTTTTTTCCGATGACTTTTTTTTCAAGTAAAATTTTTTTTTTTTAATACTCTTAATCTGTGTACATATGTGATAAATGTTTTGAACTTTTTAGTAAGATTTTCTTCACATAAATCTTCACAGAAGGGTATAAAAGTATTGAAAACTTAGTGATGAATATACAAGTATACTATTTGTAGATTAACTGATAGAAGATATTGAGGTTAACTTGAATAGAAACTATCGTAGTTTTGTCAGATCGTTTCACGGCAGCTTGCTAACGATGAAATCCGAGTATCACCTCCATCGTTTGAAAAAACAGAGATGTTCGCTCTGAAGTCGTATCGCCTTGCGGTGGGGAGGCGCAGCAATGATGCAAACCACTGCGCATGACAGCACCTAAACGATTCCTTAGCCTGATAAGAACAAACCTACCCAAGTTGATGGTAATTTATTAAGCTAATTGTCAAATATTTGTTGAATGGAACAGTGTTTCACATCAATTATGACTTGGTCGTGGTAGACCTATGTAGAATTATTAAATGTAAATCAAAATAAATGATTTTCAACTCAGATTATTAAATTGAATCCTCGTTCCGTTGAAATAGTGATGAACAGACCCGATATTGTAGTGCAGAAATTAAAGTAATAATTTTGGCTTTTCATTTTATTTTTGTACCAATGTGTGTGTTCGTTCCACTGAAGGCAGGAATTAATTACGATTCATAAAAGTTCCTTGTGTACTTGTTAGTTTGAAAACATAATTTTTCTTTAAAATTTTAAATTTATGGACACCTTTGCTTTGATATGAATGTAGCTCTCATTAATTTTATAGGAAAATTTCAAAATAAGTTTATTTTTAAAGCAACACTTGCACTACTCTGCTACATAGAGACTGGAGATTTTAACTACAAATACAATATTTTATTTAATAAATTTACATATTAAAAAATTGCCAGCTTTTTATGTTCATTAATTTGTTCATAGCTTGGGATTACGTTTCTTCGTCGAATGCAATGAAAATATTTTATATGGATGATTTCATCCATAACAAAAGAGGTTATATTCGGTAGAGAAAATATTGTTTTACTTGAATGACTGAAATGAGAAAATTTCATAAAATTTAAAATATCCTGAGGAAATTACTGAATGATATTCACTGTTCCATTCTTCTTACAAGGCCCTGGTATGACCTAGACCACAGTTTAAAAAGCTTTAAAATTTAAGAGGCCCTATAATGACCTGGCTTTCTGCTTCTAACACCACCCGGGTCCTCTCTGCTACAAAGATCAAAGTCAGGACAGGCTGCACCTAAATGCCAGAGGGCTTTGTGCTAATTGTTTGATTTCTATCACAAAACCTAGGATTTAAAAAAGGCGGAACATGTCCCCCTAAATTAAATTCTCTGTACTCGGGGTTTTAGGGGGCTTTATTTGTAACACGTATGACAGCCAGGTACATTAACATGAATGAATTAGTTATGGGCATTAGTTCTTATACAAGTATGCATACTGTCCTTTTACGATGTACAAGTTGTATGATTCAAAGAGGTATTAAATACTTTCGTGAGGTTGTTTCTTCTAAAAAAAAAAAAAAAAAAAAAAAAAAAAAAAAAAAAAAAAAAACTTTCAATAAATCAAAGTGGATCATACCCCTCCGTATATCTATTGTTAGATTCTAAGCATTGTCATAAACTGTGAAATACAAATTAAACTTTGGAACTTAATTTTAAATCAATGAATGTTAATTAAATTGAGTTCATAATTCTGTGTACTTTTTTTTAATTTCAATAAATGGTATTGCTATGATAAGTGAACATTTTCGAAAACATTTTAAAACGCTACGATATCATTATAATTTTGTTTGATTTCACGAAAAAGAAATCAGTTACTGACGCACCTAGATGCCTAGAACTCAATTTTGTGTACGAAACTTTGTTTTAACAGAATAATTGCTTAAATAATTTCAAAATGCCACTTCTCCGTCAGTTTTTATTTGAGTTCATTATTCTTTATGTTACTTCTAGTACAACCTTTTTTTCTTTTTTTTTTCTTTTTTATTTTTTTTTTGTAATAATTAATGAATGATGTTGCCTTGGTTTTCTACAAGCGAACAACTTTATCTTCTAATTCTGTACTTTGATATTTTATTTCGAAGATTAAGTGTTTCGTCTGAAACTAAAATTGGAATTTTTCCTCATATTTCACAATTAAACACATACCCATGATATTTTGCTTTCATGGTGTATGTCTCAACCCGTCTGATTAAAATTAAGAATGTGGTTAGTTTTCAAAAACAAATCAAAATTTGGAAGGGGAATTTTGTATACACAGATGCACCAATACAATAAACCAGTAGAGCTTCAGTCTCCAGAGACGTTGTTTGGATTCACAAATACTAGAACTCAAGTCTTACATGATAGTTAGAGTAAGAAGTTTCTTTTTTTTATTTAAATAACAGAGACCGATCTTTAAAGCCTTCATTGATCTTTTTTTTAAAGTGTTTTTTTTAAATCAAAGATCGCAAAAGGATTATTGACTAAAACACGTGATTCTACAGAAAATGGCTTTATCATAACTGAAAAAGATACGGCGATATAGTATTTGGTATCGGGGTTTTCAAAAGACCAAGGAAACATTTGTGGAGTTTTAGTATTAATAAACCCGATATTTCCCGCAATGATAACACACCCTGGGCTCTGTGGGGAAACTTTTGTTACCTCGGGCATTGCAACGTGTAGAAAACGTCCCCTACTTGTAAACGTTAGGAGATGACAGTCAGATTAAAGCTTCAAAAAACTCCGCCATCGCTCTAAGTTTAACTTGATCCTTGTAAAACCCCAGATTAAGCTGAAACGAATGTTGACAAAAGCTGACATCAAAAAGACCATAAGGGTGGCTAATACTATCCAAGTTAAGACAAAAAGTCGCGTACAGGTCAGGTCTGGAGTCGGTCCTGTGTGTATTTCAGATTATGGTACGGGCTGCACGCTAGCTAGAGTAACGTGATCGCAGATCGCCGAGTTTTTCAAGTGTTTCGTGAAAAGTAATTACATTTTTATTTGAATCCCCAATATGCCTCAAGATCCCAACTTTGTGATCTTGAGATTGTGTTTAGAAATATGAGACATCTGCTTATATCAAAGAATGAAATGTTTAAGATCAAATACTTGTTAGGATGGGATATTCAAGAGTGTTCCTCTAATGTGCAAAATTGAAATTGATCTCAAGAGTCGTTGGGAGGTCTTTGCTGTGGACAATTTTAACTATGTCTGAAATTAAACAACGACAAAGAGAGAAATTTATCGTTTTAGGCGAATTATTGCTTCTGAAAGTCAAAATATGGGACAAAATAACGCAAAACAATGAGAAATCCTTCACTTTCATGCTTTTCAATATGTTTACTGTGTGAAAACTTTCCCACTTAGTCATATGTTCATGCCGATTGTTCGATTAGTAGTGCTTGTTTGCCGAGTTCTTTATCTCATTCAGCCACTTGCTTTGTTGTAAAAAGCATATGTAAATTGGAAGGGGGCTCTTTTGATCTTGATAATTTATGTATTTCGATAAAATATTTCAATATTTATTAATTAGATGAAAAGATATTTCATTAAATCCTAAGTGTGCTGTTGAAAGAAAGGTGAGTGCAGTGCAGTGCTTTCTTATCACTTTTCTTTTCAATTAATTTGGACGAAAGTAAAAATTTAAAAGAAAAGCAAAATGAATCTAGTCCTTTATAGATTTGAATTGAATTTCAGAGTATGTGGTTTTAGATTGTGTCTGTGTGTGTGTGTATATATATATATATATATATATATATATATATATATATATATATATATATATATATATATATATATATATATATATATATATATATATATATATATATATATATATATTCGTATTTATTACATTAAAATTTATTACATTGAATAAATAAATACTAATTATTTTCCAAATATTCAAAAATCAAAAGGAGTTATGAAGCAAAAATCTAAAATATTTAATCATGTCTGAATATATTTCTATAGGAATTAGTAATTGTAAGCATTGTAAATTTCTAATTTCTGTATTCTCCCAGACAAAATTGTACACCTTAAATAAATTAATCAATGCGGGTTTCCAGATCAATTTTCAATATTTCAGTTAAAAATATGATCAAGTCGAATTCTGCAGTCACTAGAAATATAAATTAATCTTTCCTGGATTATTGCAAAAAAAAATTTTATCTTCAGATTACTACATGTAATCATTACTTCACTACATGCACTTGTATGAAAGGTCCCGTGCGTTACTGTAGATTGCTTTTATTTTAATTACTGCAGTAAATTGCATATCGTAATTAAGCTTTTTTTCATTATTTTTTTCATAATCGCTGGTATTTGCAATATTTTAAAATGAAGACTACGAATTGAATACCAGGAAACAAGATATCTCAAAATTTCTATAACTTTAAAAACTGATCTTTACTGAATTATAATTCCATCCATCTTTCAGTTTAAAATTGATGTTTAAAATTGATTCAATTTAATTTACACAACTAAATATAAATTATTCAAAATAAAGTAATTTGTAAAGATAAGCACTTAAATGAAACAAATAAGTCAAAATATAGCAGCACTCACAGAACTCAATCACAGTTAAATTTGCATTGCACCATTTGTTGTAAACATTGTGTCAATGAGCAAAAACACACTACATTCACTTTAAAATTTTTCGTGTTATGCATTGATGTTAACATTCTCACACATTTCGTCGAACTCGTCTATTCCGTCCACATCAATGTCTTCATCTTCATCGTCTGACGTGTTCGATGGGTCATTCTCTAATACACCTTCTTCCTTTGGACGCTTATTATCATGCGTCTTAATGTGTTTGCTCAAATGGTCACTTCTCATAAATCGTTTCCCACATTCTTTACACGCAAATCTCTTTTCTCCAGTATGGGTTCTTAAATGTCTTTGTAGCTCGTCCGATCGCGTAAAGCTTTTGCCACAAAACAACCAGTTACAAACAAATGGTCTTTCTCCAGAATGCCATCGCAAGTGCGCTTTTAGGTGAGAAGTTTTCCCGTAAACTTTTCCACAACCGGCAATATGGCATACATGTTGTTTCTTTTTAGTTGGACTCTCGCTGTTTTTGGAAGACTGACAATTTGGACATCGACATCTCCGGCATCGGCGAGTTGGAGTCAAAATAGGCTTAACCCCTGGTAAAAGGGGATACTGAGACCGAAAAGGGAAATCCCCAATTGTCTGTTGGCTGAATACCATCGCTGGGGATGTAAGCCTCATTTTCATTTCTGGGACAGTTGGAACACTCCACCACGGGACCTCCGCTTCAGCAGCCGGAGGGGGAGATAATTGTTTATGGATTGGTTGGTGAGGTATTGAGGGGGATACGGGAGAAAATTGGGGATGTGGACACACGGGCGTCGTAGGGGTTCGTAAGAATTGTCTGTCACTTGTAAGAAATTCCTGTTGTCTCAGACGAGCTTGGTGAAGATCATAATTAAATGCTTCTCGCTGAGCCTGTTCGTTAGGATAGACATTAGAGGCCATCATTTGTTGGAGAGGGTGTAAAGGTGAGCGAAGAGAGGGTGGCATCATTTCGGCGGATCTAGTATTTTGCCACATCTGCATAGGATGGTTCGGTGTTGGCCGCACTATTTCGGAAGGTCTCAACAAATTATGGGACATCATGTGCTCCATATGGCGGCTGCCAATGCAAGGGTCGTTAAGTGTTGGATACTAAAAATACACAGAATAAATCATAAATATTTCGCTATTTCTTTTTATACAATTGAAAGAAAACTTGTATTTAAAAAAATGTTCAATCTATGCACCTTTATCACGAAGAGCATAAATAATTGGAAAATGGTGCATATCACGGCGACCATTAAATGTTTAGACCACTCTCCAGAAAATAAAAAAATATATATTATTGTATAAAATATGTCTCATCGTCCTAAATACATTATTTTCTTGCAAAGTTCGATTACAGATTGATTTTTCAAAATAACGACAAATCGATATCTGAATTTACTATAAAAATTCTTATTGACATCTAAATATCAATTCAGTTTGTTGCTGATAACCTTTTAAGCCTCCCCCTCCCTCCCCGCTTCTCAGTGGATTAATCATATCTTCTAAAGGGTAAAAATCTTGTCAATTATACCTACACTGTCCACGTACATTAAAAGCTGATTTCAATACAATGGCAAGGCCTTCTTGGAAAGATTTTAAATGATAGATACATTTTAAGCAGAACATGTACATGTTGATTAATGAGATTGAAATTGTCTGCGGTAGGTGAAGTAGAACCCCGGGGGTCAGTCATTTGTTGGTTACACTGTTTACACTGTCCCCCGGATGCGGCTGTCCAACAAGAAAAAAGTTAGGGGCCAAGAGGTGTCGCTCTAAATAGAAGTCTCCCTTTGAAGTATCTTTATACATTTATCATGCAAAGATTAATGTGCATTCTTTTTTTTCAACAATAATGGGATAAGAAACAACGTTTTCATTGCAGAAATTTACTGTTAAAACTCATAATTTTTTAAGATGATTTTTTTTAGGGGGGTCGGGGACGGTGGGTTAAGATTGGTATTATTTTCTTACATACTGGTGTACCTATTAATAAGAAATATTTAACGTTTACTTGTCTTTGATTGCCAAGACCTGATCACCTTATGAAAGAAGACTTACATTATTATTTCCAAATTCATTAATAATCATCAAAATCTAAGTACTTGCATTTGATAGCAAACCTTACTGTAGGGTACGTAATTTTTACAATTGAAAAAAATTAATAAATAATGTACTGATAATTACTACAATTTTTTTTTACATTGAAAATTTTCAAATATATCAGCTGTTCAAAATATAGATAAAATGAATTTTAAAAAAAAGTTTTCTTTTCTTTAAGCGAGAGTGCTTACGTACTTTTATTTAAAGCACTTAGGGAGAAGGTAAATTAAAGTTTTTAAACTTTGTGTCCAATCCCATTGTATATATCTATTACAATAAAATATGTTTAAATCATATTTAAAGCAAAGTTATTTTTATTATTTTTTCCGAAGAATAAATTGTGAGACACGAAAATGAAGTAGAGAGGGAAAACCATTCATTGGCAGCTATTTAATGTTCATAGTTCATTCTGTTGTTGAATTGATAGAAATCGCCTCATTAAAAAGACATAACATTAAGATGTGTTGAATTAATTAACAATAAAGTCTTACCTGTAAAGAAGAAGGGAAGCTGTGGGGTGGTGCAAGCGCCGTAGCCATGCTTAATAAAATAAACACGTGTTTTAGACCCACAAGCAATTAAAATCTGTGAAAATTAACATCCAGACATCAACAAGTTAAAACGAAAAATGTACCGTCGTTTTGCGTCTTGTATAAATTCAACGTTTTTCTTGTTAAAATTCGTAAATAGTTTACCCCTGCCTAATCTCTCTGATGTTTCCGCGAGCCAATCAAAACACTTGACAATGTCTTTGAAGTTTGCCGTGAGCCAATTGAAATCTATAGGCGGGTTAGTTTAAAAGGAAATTAAATCCTTTCAAAATACAAAGTTCTAAGAGAGAGATTGTTTACAGTCATAATAGAGGCGATTATAACTTGTTATTAACGGGGTTGTCGAGGGCGGGGAAGTAATCTCCTCGCAGGACGTTTACACACATAAATAATTGGATTGGAGAGATCAAAGCGCAAATACCAGGGCAGTCATTCAGGTAATATGGCAGGCAGCCCCACACCGCTGCTAGAATCCACACCTACAGGGCTACCAGCGAGACCAATACACAAGACTGCACACCAATAAAATACTGCAGGATTAATTTTCTATGCGATTTCTAAAGTATCAGGAATGTCTGAGCGAGTCTCTCAACGACGTGCAGTTTTTATCGTTTGTGGCTCAACTAAAGGCCGCTTTACTTTTCTTTTAGTGTTTTAAACATCATGGATTGTGTTACTATAAAAATAATAAAATGTAAACAACATTAAAAATATTTTTTATTTACGATGTGCTCGTATGTACATGTACTCATTCGTCTGTCTGTTAGACGGTGGGATGACAGTCTTGTATCTGACAATAATACATGTAATAACACAAGTATATAAGATGACAGAAGAACCACACTTTTCACCCGGCAACAGTTATAAGGATGCGTCTCTAAAATTTGGTAAAGGTTTTTGTCACAACAAACCAACATTTGTCACAATGTCATGTCTTTCATCTCTATAAGAGACAAACACTGACGTAACCTTAACAGTACAAACATCGACAGAGGCCCGAATCGCTCGGAAACCCAGTTATGACATCCACCTCAAACTTTCAATAAGACTGCCTTTTCTTCTCTATTAATTGCCATTTAGATTAATGTTATTTAAACACCTCGCTTTGAGCAGGTGCTCTAGAGGACATGACGTCATCTATTTTTCTTTCTTTTTTATCACCTCATAAAGCCCGACTTTGCGTCTCGAGCGCTTTACAAAGATCTCGGAGAAAATGTTCTCAACACAGAAATCTTCCATAATTCTTCATAAAAAGAAATTATTCTTCAAAGATTCACAATTATAACATGAAGTGATATACCTGTTATCAGACGTGTTCGTTTGGCGGGACCCACTGTGTAACGTCTGCTAATAATCACTGATAGTCATCAAGAATTATTAGTGGGATTGGAAAATAACACGCCAAAGATTTCCCCTCAAAGACCAATGATTAACCATACCGAGGCCAGGTTTAAGAGATCTGTTTCATCTTGGTTTGAAACCACCATCAAAAAGACTATACATTTCTTTTCATGTTTTCTTATTTTTCCCCACAAATTGTGTTCCCATGTTTGTAAAGCGCTCATGTCTGGAAGCTCTATCTTTTCAGTTTCTAGAAAGATATGAAATTGTTTTGCTAGGTCACTGCGAATGCTAGGACTTCTTAAGACAAAAGGTTCCTACTTAAATCTAAGGAGGTTTATTTTTTTAAAAGAGCAACAGACATCCCACCCCTCGGAAAAAATCATAGAGCTTATTTGAATTGCAGATTAGTAAAAAATTAAAGCATGGTATGATTTTATTGCTAAGTTAAAAAAGGACTGTATTTATTATGATTTGGTTGCTAACTTGCTATAATAACTGGAATTTGTTTTCTTATAGTTTGGGTGTTTATTAACACTGTACGTACATGAAATGTAGGATGCTCTATCTAATTGATTGCTAGGCCTAATTGTATACAAAAATAATAACAAAACATAAGATTTTTTTGGTAGCCAAGTTTTAACTATTCAGTAAGTGTACAAAAGTGAAATATAAACTGCGATTTGCTGACAAAATCAGTTTTATAAAAAGGAAGTGTAAGCTATGAGTTGGCTGTATTATAATCAGTTCCTATAGAAATAAGATAGGGGCCGGCCTTATGACATTGTAGAAAACTGAATTGTAAGTTTTGATTCCCGTCCTACATGTATATACATGAATATTGTCCTCTACCAAATTAAGAATTTGTTCAATTTAAATTTGTTAAGTCATATAAATTTTAAATTGAACAAATTCTAAATTTTGTAGACGACAATATATACATGTATGTACTATTAGTTGGAAATGATATCTTTTTATTTATTTCTTTGCTATATCACATGCAATAAAAAGATGTTTCTTTATTTCTTGCAGAAAAAAAGTGTTGAAAAAATAGCCCAAAGCAAATGGAAATACAAGTAACAATTTTGGTTGCTATTGAACGTAGTGTAGTTTCCAGTTGCTTTATGCAAATTAAAAGTGAAATATACGGCATACATCCATGTGTTTGCTGAACTAGAATGTACAAGGCCAAGTGGTTTGGCATTGATTTGTCACTCTGTATAAAAATGCTGTATTAAAATATTTATCTGGTTTGCTGTATAAGATTGTATATGGCGTGAAATGGTAAATATTTTTGAGTTATGTTAAGTTGTAGACAGTAAAATAGGGTTAACTACATGTATTAGAAATGATATAGCTCGTTCGTCGAATTATATAAGCATGCAATGTAAGGATATTTTACATTTAAATATAAGGGGAAATATGAGACATTGCATACACTTTCTACAACCATTCCCAAAGATAAATTAAAGACCAGACTGTCTTTTTGACATCAAATACAACTGGCTACTTCTTCAATGAAAAGGAACTCTTGTAAATTTGCATACATTGTCATTGGTCATCTGAAAACATTTTATTTAAAAACACTGTGATTCTACACACAAGTACTCCGAGGTTGATATTAAAAATATGCTGGAGTTTCTCATTGACAACATCTATGCAGTGTTCGGAGACCAGGTCTTCCAACAATCTGTTGGAATTCTCATGGGTACTAACTGTGTCTCGTTATTAGCAGACATGTTTTTGTATTCCTATGAAGCAGAATTTATTCAAAAACTTCTACAGGAAAGGAAGAAGTCTCTTGGTGGAGCCTTTAACTCGACATTTAGATGTATCGACGACGTTTTATCAATCAACAATTATTCAGTTTCATTTCTATGTTGATTCCATGTATCCCAGTGAACTCGAAATAAAAGACACCACAGAGTCTGATACATCTGTTTCATATTCGAATGTTTTACTGGAGAAAGACTTTGATGGCAACTAACAACTAAACTTTATGATAAACGTGAAGACTAAAACTTTTCTATCGTCAACTTCCTTTATTTATGTAACAATATACCATTATCACCTGCATATGGGGTTTTGTATCTCCCAGTTGATTCCATACGCACAAGCGAACGTTCTACGTACGAACAATTTCTAAAAAGAAGCGGGCTATTGACAAAAAGTAAATGATACAAGGATATCAATATTAACATTTGAGGACCTCATTTCGCAAATTGTACTGTCGATACAATGGTCTTGTTTGCAATTTCAATCTGTCATCGAATGTTGACTTTTAAGTTTTTCATACAAATTTTTATGTCATTATTTTCACAATGAATTGTCTACAGATTTTTCTATTTACCCGATCATAACAAGGAGCACACAGTGTGACCGGTCGATAGAGGATGCTTACCCCTCCATGGCACCTGATCCCACCTCTGTTCTCAGAGGTCTGTGTAAGCTCTGCTCATAATTTGTATTGTTCAGTAATGAACTTTCAAGATTGATCACTGTTCGTTATCTTCAATGAAAATTAATTATAGAATGTATGGAAGTGAAACTCAAAATATGCTTTTGTCAATGTTTATAGAGGTTATGGCTACTCAGCCATCGATTCAATGTTGGAAATCGGTTACATGGTTGAAACATAGTTTTGCTTGAAGAATAGAGAAGATACATATGTAGTTTGAGAGAGATGCTGTGATTGTAAAGGTCATATACAGTACTCAATTAACAATGGTTATCCAAGGGAAATAATATTTAACACATGCAGACACAAAATACATAGCCAACTTGATCGATACTTTAAGAGACCCTTGTATTAATTTAACATCTACTGATTTATAAGGACCAATCTCAATCATATTTTTAAATTTCATACGTCAATTATAAGTTGAGATGGTTGTTAAAAGAAATAAATATACTTCTCAAGAAAATAGCGTAAGCTGACCCCGAAGACTCATTTGAGAAGGGGGAAATAATGTGCGACTGCTAAATGACAAACAAGAAATTGGACAAGTTCAGTAGAAAAAGGACTCTATTTCATAAATAAAAGTTCCTCTCAGCGTTCGCAGAAGAAATAGTTTTTAACGAATTCCTTTACTCAACACACGACGTGCAGACCAGTTTTCTTTGAACAACGAAAAAGATAAAAACGGTCTTTGAAATAAGTTTGATTATCGACATCTTGTAAGCTGCTCTAGACTGATTATCAACTTTAAAGGCGAACCTTTGCTAGAGCTACCACGGCGGTACGATCAAAGGCTTAAGGCAGGTATATTCAAATGGGCACTAAAAAAGGAGTAGTTCCTCTCTTGAGAAACGCAGTCAAATCTATAAAATATTGATCGCTTTTTTTACAAGCCCTACACTGCATTACGAGGCATTGAACTTTCACTTCAGTGAATGTACAATATATTGACGTACCTAGCGCCATTAATAAATTAACCATTTTGCAGACGATCGGTCAAGCAACCAAACCCTTTCGTTCCCTCCTGGAATTAAATTCCGACGTCTGCTAATGTGTTACGCTGCCGCTATTGGGGCGGGAAACATCAAACAGAGTTAGTTAAACAAAGTGTGTGATCCACGCCCCTAGAACCTCCTCTGTGAAGATATGAGAAATGAATAGCTCTTGGTTAGTCATAATCCCTTCAAAGTAAAACATTAAACAAATATTTAAAGTGCTGTTAAAGGGCTGGAGAGGTTATACTTAGCCGACAAGTCTGGAGATGAAATAAAACATTGTAATAGTCAATTTTACAGGAGTGGATCCAGAAATTCTCAGTTACGGAATGCAACTACACAACACATTTCAAGCTAAATAAAATAAACAATGCCAAACCGAAACGTTTTCAATATCTTTTTTATTTCTATTGTTGAGAAGAACAGCACCACCAGATATTATAGAACTTATAACAGCCATAAAAATATTACCTTATGTATAAAGATTAGAATATAATTATTAAGGACATACGCTACGTAGTTTTGAACTTCTTTCCCGTAAAATGTATGAGTTCCAATAATTAAAGGACCTTTGTGCGATTTTATGATGCCTGGCCCCAGGATCATGAAACAGACTTAGACTTAAGTCAGATTTTCAATCCCCTATAAAATGTTCATTAATTATTGAATTAATCTCTAAGTTTGCAGATAACAACACTTTTGTAAAGCAATATTGAAAAAATATTTTAATTTTGTTCTGCTTGACTTCTACAAAAATTTAGTACAAAGTAAAGAATTTGACTTAAGCTTAAGATGTTTCATGATCCCGGGGCCTGGTAACGCTGTTCACTTCCTCTGAATCATATTTATATATAGGAAATACCAGCTAAAACTATATTTTTATTAATTTTTCCTTAAAAAAACATAAGGATTTTCATCTTTTAGATATTTGTTCAAAACTCCTGGTAATGTATGCTGATTTTCTGTTTAAGAACATCGGATAGTACTATGAATTTAAATTAAGAATATCTTGAAAATTTATCGGTGGGAAAGGTACATTGTAGAGTACATGTACGTTGCGTATGTCCTTAAATTGTGTGGAAACTCCTTCACAAATCAAGAACTTATATAATATATGAAGGGTACAGCTAATTCAAAGACCAAGAAAAATTGTCAGCTTCCTAGAAAATATTAATTTTCAATTCATTTAATTGATCATTTTTTTAATTTGAACATTACATATATCACTAAGTAATCTGTTAATTCTTTGACATAAATTTTAGAACGGAGACAAAGATAAATATGTATAAAATGTCAGATATTTAAAATAAAATGTATGTATATCACCAGACAAGAAAAAATAACAATACAAACATAACAGTTTATTCTTAAAGATTCTCCAAATATAAATGACCTTTTCACTATACCATTCTTAAAAGGGGGGGGGGGGGGTCTCACAACACATGTAACCTTTGTGATATGTTGGGCTATAATGGCACATATTTTGCAAAAAACAGTTTAATCAATAGAATGGTTTAATTTTCAATGTGAATTAGTCATTTTTAACTGATTTCAAATGATGTGTCCCTTTGGCCAGTTTTCTACAACAAAAAGAAAATAGAAGGGAAAAAAACCCAGATATTACTTAAAATATATCTTTTGATATGGATAACAAAATTATTTACTTACAGATTTGCAAATATGATATAAATATGTCCATGCACATATATATGTAACTGTGCACACATTAACTTGTACATGTAATCGTTCCTTTGGACCCAGCTAATGAATTCATGAACATTTGTGCCCTTCTGCTAATGATTCTATAAAATTGTGTACTAATCTGAACATAATTTATAATGATCGTGATGAGGGGATGGGAAATATATATTATTCAGAACAATGGATAAACAATGAAAGAATACCTTATACATGTACCAGGAAATTCCTCAAATTTCAAAGTAGACACAGATACTGAAATCCCTAACACATGCAAGCTCTTTGCAATACATGTACATCTTTTTAAAAATGTTGATGAAAAAAATTAAGGTCCCAAAAACAAGAGTTAATTTAAAAAAAAACATATATATCATATCTAAAATATAGGGATTAAATAATATACAAGCACATCTGTTCATGGAATTCATAGAGTTTTCCTGAATAACTTGAGGAATATGTTTACATATTTAAAGAGAGATAAGCATTTTAAACAATTTTGCACATTTGCATGTATAAATGTTCAACACAAAAATAGAAAATCTGTCTACCAAATGGATATGCTACAAAGTGCAATAAAATGAATATAGATCTTATATCTCACTGTCTATGTGTAAACAAGTCACTATTAAACATTTGTGAAGAATATTAATTGTAGCAATATGCAAATAAATGTTCCAAATTGAAACATATTACTCATACATGAAAATCTGCATCATAACAAAGTCTGGTCAATAATGCTGATTATGAGACTTAATATAAAATTTTTCATTGGTCATGGAATGCTATGTTATTATATCCGTGTAAACTATCAATACAGTATATCAATGCTCTGCATGGACTGCTAATAAAGAAAATACATCTAAAAAACATAAATAATGCTTAGAAAGAATATGAGGATAATATTGCAATTATCAACATGCTTTCTCAAATCATATGGTTAAAAATGTAAAGAAATAAGCCATTCTAATAATGTAAATTAAGATACAAGCCATAATCTAAGTGAAACAGATCTTAATATACTTGTCTATTAAAGCTTTAGAATATACAGTTTTAATTGTCAAAATGGTTGTACAATTATAATAAATAACATGAAACACTGAGAAGGAATGGGGATAATGGTATATAAATCACCACTATATCACGATATCAATGTGTGTCATGATTGCACGTAAGATAGTGAGCATGCATTTAGTGTATAAAACAGGACAGGAACCCAACATGAGCACAGACAGGAACACAGACAAAGGTATAGGACCTTAAAGGAAGACCAATGAATATGTGGAATAAAAACAGAAATACATACAAATGTTGAACATTACATGACAGAGTATCAGTTGGTTCACTGTGTCAAATCAACAATATCTACAATTCTGCTATACTGATTAAGAGACAAATAAAACAAAGGGATACACAATAAATGATGATACTTTGCTGACAATCTGTTTGCAGTTTAAAATTGTGCATGGTAGAAATTTATTTTCAGTCATGACTTTGCTACCTTGATAAGAACTTTCTGCATATATTATCACAGTCAGATGTTTGTGTAAACAAGTAATATATCACAATATGTTAATCTTCAACAGCACTAATCCTTTGTGACTTCACTTATGTCACTCTCTTCTTCTATTAGAAAACTGGGTCACAGTAACCTAATTATAAAGATATGTAGGTCATCTCTACTCCTCTTCTGGGTCACTGTAACCTAATTATAAAGATATGTAGGTCATCTCTACTCCTCTTCTTCCTCCTCGAATTTAATCTTTCCTGTTTTCCTTAGTAAATGGCGGAAGTCAATTTGAGTAACAGAGTTAGGATCTTTTCGTCTGATTCCCTGCTCTAAGTCAAAGTTTGTCTTCTTTAACCGACCTCTAAAGTCTATGCCATTACTTAACTCCTGGGCAATGTCTCCTGTTCCATTCATCTTAGAGGGTGGAATTACAGCAGGCTTCCTGTAATGATCAACAAACTTATAAGTCTGATGAAATATCAAATGTAGCTAGCTTCCATTGCCAATCAATGGTGGCATTCCTGTGAAATAACTTACTCAGAATTCTCATTAATCAAAAATCAATCCAATTATTTACTCACAGTCCTGAAATACTGAATTTTCAAAATTTGGGTGGAAATTTTAAAGCTGGCATACTGACAAGAAACACACAATGCAACAAACAAGTAAAGTTTTGCAACTTGAACAGCTAAAAATCACTTTCTATCCTCTAACATAGTCCAAATGATTCAAGTTTCTTTAAAGAATATTGTCAAAGCCCCTCTTAAAATTAATGGATCAACACAGATGAAGCTTTGTTGCCCTAAAGCAAGAGAAGTAGGAAGATCAGGATCAACAAAATAATTAGTCTAGTATTCAGTATCAACTCAACTTAAGTTCTAATCTGTCCCGCACTTACCACTATCACCATGCAGATAATTAACAAACTATTAGTGCTTCTGTAGTATTTTTAAACCCATATTAAGACCTCTAGCATTGACCTCTCTTATGGTCTTTGAAGAACTTTTAATAAGATAAGTTATTTTTGTCTCATTTTTATTTATCTATTACTTACAGGTCTGCCTGGTTATTAAAACTAGGAAAATACTTTTTGAATTATACGATAAACATTCTTGCATAATTATCTTATTCTATTAACCTTTCAAATACATTATTTACTGTGATTAATTATCAAAGGTGAATGGAAAAGGGGAATAACTTCTCTCAGTAGAATACAAATTAATAGAGCCCTGCCCAGGACCAGAATGCTTAGACAAATGGTCCAGATGTTCAAAAATCTGGTAGAAATACGCTTACTTATTAGTGGTGTTCCAATCATCGATTATAATCGAAAATCAGTCGATTGCTGGCATAATCCAAGCGCTCGAATACAATTTTTTTTTATTCTGATTAATCGGGTTATTTATTTTATTTTAAAAGCGTAATAGTTTTTAAGCCAAATATTCCAGCCGCAACTTTTCTATTAACTTATTTGTGTATCCTAATGGAGCAGACGAAGAGACATCGTATTCATACCCGGGTAACAACGCTCATTCTGGGGTATGGACGTACTTTGGATTCTACAAAATGAGCGTAGAACCAGCTTGACTAGATAGAACATTCTGTCGTTAAAATGATATTGTCCTAAGGACTAGGGGTTGTTCCGAGACACAGTTATTACAACTACAGCTGGACCACCACAGACAGTAGTTATTCAATCATTATTACCATTTAATAAACTAAAATTGACAGACTTTGTAAATGTCCGATTATAATTGATAATTAGTTAGTTACAGTAGCCTGATCATCGATTATGAAATTCTTACCGATTCCCATCACTATTACTTATACATGTACCATTTAAACTTTTACTCAGTTTGCTTCCGATATGCCCAGAAGCAGAGAAGAATTTCACAGATACGATGCATTTTCACTACAGATTCAACAAAGCCTTACCCTAACACCAGAACTCAAGACCAAAGGTCAAGAAATTTACAAATTTGGAAGAGTTACCCTCATCATCATAACTATGGACTTCAAAGAATTAACACTTTTCCACTATATTATCCCCCCCCCCCCCCTCCTCGTTATGCCAGAACCCCTGACCCTAGGACCACAAGATTTAAAAATTCTGTTCGAAGCTCCCATTTTCATCATAGCTAAGCAATTTATTTATCAGCTCAACACTAAGGAGCAGACAGGATTAATTAATGATTAATAATAGAATTAATGCATTTTCACTATATAATCAATAGAGCCCCCCACCTCCCACCCTCCTCAAGAACCCCAAAAACTGAGGCCATATATTTAAAAATTTTGGAAGAGGCATCCTTGCCTATCATAATCATGCACTTAGTTTGTTTAAATAATCTCCAGTAGCAGAGAAGAAGATTTTCATAGAATCAATGCATTTTCACAATATAATCAATAGAGCCCCACCTTAACACCAGAACCCCTGACCCTGGGGCCATGAAATTCACAATTTTTAAAAAGGCATCCTTATGCATCATAACCATGCACTTAGTTTGTTTAAATAATACCCAGGAGCAGAGAAGAAGATTTTCAAAGAATTAATGCATTTTCACTATATAATCAATAGAGCCCCGCCCTTACACCAGAACCCCTAACCCTGGGGCCATGAATTTCACAATATTGGAAGAGGCACTCTTGCTCATCATAACTATGTACTTAGTTACTTTATTTAATAACAAGGAGCAGAGATGAAGATTTTCAAAGAATAAATGCATTTTCACTATATTTTATCAATAGAGCCCCGCCCTAACAGCAGAACCTCTGACCCTGGGGCCACGAATTTCACAATTTTGGAAGAGGCACTCTTGCTCTTCATAACTATGTACTTAGTTACCTTATTCAATACCCAGGAGCAGAGAAGAAGATTTTCAAAGAATTAATGCATTTTCACTATATAATCAATAGAGCCCCACCCTAACACCAGAACCCCTGACCCTGGGGCCATGAAATTCTCAATTTTTAAAAAGGCATCCTTATGCATCATAACCATGCACTTAGTTTGTTTAAATAATACCCAGGAGCAGAGAAGAAGATTTTCAAAGAATTAATGCATTTTCACTATATAATCAATAGAGCCCCGCCCTAACACCAGAACCCCTGACCCTGGGACCATGGCTTTCACATATTCTGGAAGGGGCCCACCTCCTCATCATAACTATGTACTTAGTTTATCACCTTAATGCACAGGAGCAGAGGAGAAGATTTTCAAAGAATTAATGCATTTTCACTATATAGTCAATAGAGCCCTGCCCTAACACCAGAACCCCTGACTTGTGGCCATGAAATTCACAATTTTGGAAGAGGCTCTCTTGCTCATCATAACTATGTACTTAGTTACTTTATTTAATACCCAGGAGCAGAGAAGATTTTCAAAGAATTAAAGCATTTTCACTAGATAGTTGATAGACCTAACACCAGAACTCCTGACCCTGGGGCCATGAAATTCACAATTCTTGAAAAGGCACTTTTGCTCATCATAACTATGAACTTAGTTACTTTATTTAATACCCAGGAGCAGAGAAGAAGAATTTCAAAGAATTAATGCTTTTTCACTATATAATCTATAGAGCCCCGCCCTAACACCAGAACCCCTGACCCTGGGGAGGCACTCTTGCTCTTCATAACTATGTACTTAGTTACCTTATTTAATACCCAGGAGCAGAGAAGAAGATTTTCAAAGAAATAATGCACTTTCACTATATGATCTATATAGCCCCACCCTGGGGCCAGAACCCCTGACCATGGGGCCACGAATTTCACAATTTTGGAAGAGGCACTCTTGCTCTTCATAACTATGTACTTAGTTACTTTATTTAATACCCAGGAGCAGAGAAGAAGATTTTCAAAGAATTAATGCATTTTTACTATATAATCTATAGAGCCCCACCCTAACACCAGAACCCCTGACCCTGGGGCCATGAATTTCACAATTTTGGAAGAGGCACTCTTGCTCTTCATAACTTTGTACTTAGTTACCTTATTTAATATCCAGGAGCAGAGAAGAAGATTTTCAAAGAAATATTGCACTTTCACTATATGATCTATATAGCCCCACCCTGGGGCCAGAACCTCTGACCCTGGGGCCACGAATTTCACAATTTAGGAAGAGGCACTCTTGCTGATCATAACTATGTACTTAGTTACTTTATTTAATATCCAGGAGCAGAGAAGAAGATTTTCAAAGAATAAATGCATTTTCACTATATAATCAATAAAGCCCTGCCCTAACACCAGAACCCCTGACCCTGGGGCCATGAATTTCACAATTTTGGAAGAGGCACTCTTGCTCTTCATAACTTTGTACTTAGTTACCTTATTTAATACCCAGGAGCAGAGAAGAAGATTTTCAAAGAAATATTGCACTTTCACTATATGATCTATATAGCCCCACCCTGGGGCCAGAACCATTGACCCTGGGGCCATGAATTTCACAATTTAGGAAGAGGCACTCTTGCTGATCATAACTATGTACTTAGTTATTTTATTTAATATCCAGGAGCAGAGAAGAAGATTTTCAAAGAATAAATGCATTTTCACTATATAATCTATAAAGCCCTGCCCTAACACCAGAACCCCTGACCCTGGGGCCATGAATTTCACAATTTTGGAAGAGGCACTCTTGCTCTTCATAACTTTGTACTTAGTTACCTTATTTAATACCCAGGAGCAGAGAAGAAGATTTTCAAAGAAATAATGCACTTTCACTATATGATCTACATAGCCCCACCCTGGGGCCATGAATTTCACAATTTTGGTAGAGGGCTCAATGCTTATTACAATGATGCCAACAGTTTGACTGCTTGATGTCCAGGAGTAAAGAAGAAGATTTTTAAAGATTGCATTATTTTTGGTGGTTTTAGCCCCACCCCTCAGGCCCCAGGGGGGCAGGGACCATGAAATTCACAATTTTTGTTCCCCTTCACCCATAGATGCTATATGCCAAATTTGGTTGAAATTGGTTCAGGGGTTTCAGAGAAGAAGCTAAAAATGTTCAAATGTTAACGCATGACGCACGCCGACGGACGAGAACGGATAGCAATAGGTCACCTGAGTGACTCAGGTGACCTAAAAAGGAATGAAGCTTTTAACTCTTACAAGTAATGTCTCAAAAGAAACTGAACTTAGAATTCAAGTTACAAACTGTTTGTTCACATTAATGACAATAACAAAGACAGGACTTACAACTGAAACTTGACTTTTGCAAGTGCTGTGGGAGATGCGACACCATTAGGAATACCATTGGAAACACCATTGCTCACAGAGGGATTCCCATTTCTCACAGGAATTTCAATGGAAAATGGAGGTGTAACACTGGTAGGGATAGGAGGGGGAGGTTCTGTAGGGGGTGGAGGAATGTAGAAAGTGGGTGGGTCCCGTTTCATTGCGGGTGGGGGAGGAGGAGGTGGTGGGGGAGGGGTTGGGGGTCTAGGTAAACCCTCCCTTGGCTCTTCTCCTTCCTGCCTTTGTCGGTGGTTCCAGTGACCAGCTGAACTATTGCTGACTTGTTTCTCTAGGGTCTTGACCATTTCCTGTTTGTTGCTTTCTTTATAGAACTCCTCTTTGTAAGATGATGGGTCTTTGCTGATCTCTGAAGATGGTGGTCGTAGGCCATTTAAAGAACCACTGTAGAAAAAAACACAACATTAACAAGTTTGAAATCATTTAATGTGAAGTTTTGAAAAGATTGATACTCATTTCTGCTTGTGGGTATAAAGTAGGGAATGCAATTTGTAACTGGTTAACCGATTATTTGGTCGGAACGAAGGCATTTGGTTAGAAAATCTGTAATCGGTTACTCGCAAAAAAGTAAAATGTTTATAAAATTGAAAACAATTTTTTTTTTAAATTTATTTTTAAAAAAGAAATATCTGCATAAATGTTGATAATTTAGCATTTTCTCGTATCTATTTAAGCTGATTAAGAGGTAATTATGGCTCTCCAGATTGAAATTGTGGGATAACTGGTCAGTTTGCGATGTGTTATTTACTGTTAAAACACCATGTTGTTACCCCGACTGTCCTGTTACTATATTCTTTAATGGTATAAATTAAATCAGCGTTGAGCACTATGAATTGGTATGGGTATCTTTTGCAGTTATCTATCAAATCAAATTATTAAACAAACATACTAAATAAGTAATACAGTGTAGACTTAGTTTTGAGTATGGTGACAATGAAGAATGAACTTGTGTGACATATTATTCAGCTTTTGAAAATTACCGGTACAATGATTTCTCAGGCATGTTTCATGGTTTTCTAATTTTTTTCTTGATTATTGAAATAAAATATATATGCATGTAGTTTTCTGATCACATTCAAGACAAAGAAAAGTGTTTATAACTTTTAACGTCTTTCCTTGTCTTTTTGTGCATACGAATAGAACTATTTGAAAAAAAATATATCAAGAATATGTGTAATTCAATATACACATACATTGTAGTTTGATATGATTAACTGGTTAATCAGTCGGAATGTCTTGCGCTTAACCGATTAGCAATTCTGCATTCGATTACCATCCCTAGTATAAAGTGATTGCAAATCAGCATTTTCCCAGTGTGGTAGATATAAACATATAATACGCAAGCCATTTAGCAATTTAGCAGAATCTGCTTTCCGCCAAAAGCGCTAAATAGAATACACTGCCAAATGTAATACATTTACAGTATTCATAATCCGTCATTTCTGATTGACTGTGACCTTTAAACTAATAAGCAGAATGGTTAATACACGTATAAAGTACGAGGGGTGATCAAAAAGTTCGCGAACTATCTCTATACTTAAAAAACCACAATTCAGATCAGATTGAAATTTGGCACACATATAGTCATACACATCTCCTATAAATAGCAGATGTTAAATAATGTTTTGCTCCATGTTTGTGACGTCACAATGTGAAAATGACATCAGTATGTAGGTCACTTGTGACAAAAAATGGTTGACTCAGTCGTACTTGAGTAACGAATGGCTGTAAAGTTTAACGTATACCTCAGAAATTCCTTTGCAGTGAAATATGATGATAATTTGTACAAGGTTTATGAAGACAAAAGACTTACAAGAAGTCCAATCATTAATTGGATTGAATGTTTTAGTGAAGGCAGGGAGATGGTTAAAAAAGATGTTTGTTCTGTTGACCAGCCAAAGCAAGCCGGTAAAAAGATGTGTCCTTAGTTGAGCAATTTGTTTTGAAAGATTGCCAAGTTACAGTAAGAAAAATAGTTGAATATCTGAGCAATAATATAATTATTAAATCCCTAAATTATCGTTTACTTTAGACTTTAAACATATGAGATATGAAAAAAGAAGGCGCCCATACTTTTTCCACATTGGATAAACGACACTCCTGAGACAGAGGACTCAGGTTGTGATGGTCACAATGCTAATTCTGGGAAGGGAAATCCTTATCCACCCATCCTATTGCCGAGATTTGGCCATTTCTGACAGATGGTCTGTTCTTGTTATTAAAAATTACTTGCATGGTAAGAAATATAAGACTCAGAAAAATCTCTTAGCTTCTGTGACCACTAAGAAGTATGTCACATGACCGCCTGGATCATGTGATTCGCGCATTGGCAGAACAATGGCAGATGTGCATTAAAATCGGAGAGGACTACTTTAAAAAATAATGAACACTGAAACTTCATTTTATTTCTTTTAAGGAAGTTATTCAATTAGTTTGCGAACTTTTTAATCACCCCTCGTCATGATTCATTATTTAGGAGATTCTAGAAAATATTACCAGTTGATGCTAATAAAACAATGACAGCAAACTTCAAGTGCACTTTTGTCAAAATTACCTTTCTTCATAGCAATCATTAATTCACTATCCATTAATTGTGAAAAGTTACCAGTGCACACTAAAGAACACCACCGAACGACAAAGGAAACATGCACACCACTCCTAATGCTTAATCCCTTCATAGATACGAACATTGTCCATCAAATAAACAAAATTAACTCCAGGATAGCGAGTAGTCCCATCCACATTAACTTCTAAAATAGACTCCTAGTATATTACATGTGCAATGTAGGAATAAAAAAAGAGTCCCTTCTAGATCAGAAATTGTTAATAGTAAACACACACCACACCACAAATCCAACAGAGTGACACAAAACACTGACTTAGCCAGAATTGCCTCAGCAATACTCCTTGCAGCCCGTGATCTCTCGAATTCTTCTGTCCCTGCTTTGTGCTTTTTGCTATAAACATGAAATACTCCATGAAAACCATTATCAATTTAATTAAGAGAAATTGTTGATGGGGATAATGTGAGGTTCTTTACCTTCCCCTCAAACTCTGATCGTGGGCTTCCACCAGTGGTTTGTCCCAGTCAATTATCTGGTCCTTTGGAACCTCATAAGAACTGTTGGATATCAAAATACAATATTTATGAAAAACAAAACTCTAATAACTCAACAGACACAAATATTATAATTTTGAATGCATAAAGCAATTATTGGCAAACATACTTTGTTACTATATATTATTAGGTCTTTCCACCTTTCTGTGGAAAGACCTCTTGAAATGCTTATGTTTATTATTATTATTATTATTATTATTATTATTTTTCTTCCCGGACTTTTGAAACTGCAAGACTTATCGAAAAACTTTATAGTTCGTGATACTGGATATCAAAAGTTATTCCGAAAAACGACCCCCCGTGTTTGACCTATGACCTCTTACGAAGTTATTGCCCCTTTCGCAAGAATAGCTTGTTATCGCTACTCCTCCGACACCGTAAACTGTAGAGGTACGGAACCTTCACCAATGCCTTCGACTAATTGAGTGGTCTCTTCAATCTTTTCATTGCGAAAGTATTCGTCAACCCCTTTTATGAGTTATTGCCCCTGAAAGTTTTGGAAGCTTACAAATAATGAAAAATTTTCAAAACGATAAGCCGTAGAGACATGAAACCAACTGCATTAGATTCTTTGACCTTAGACCTTGAAGTTTATGTCAAGGTCAAAGGTCAAGGTCATTCCAAATATGAGAAATAAAGCTCTTTTTATAGCTCTTTTGTCTTTCAACATATACAGAATATCTTAACATCTTTAATATCTACTTTTAAAACTATTTCAAAGATTTCAATCTTGTCCCCTAAGCTTAACCCTTTTAAAAGTTATTGCCCCTTGTGCGAAAAACCTTGTTATCGCTACTCCTCTGAAACCGTAAACCGCAGAGACACGAAACCTTCACTAATGTATTCAGGGTCTTTAGACACAACTTCAATCTATCATGGCGAAAGTATCCAGTGACCCCTTATATGAGTTATTGCCCTTTAACGTCTTTGCGCTTACTAGTAAACCCTATAACTTTGAAACTAAAAGTTGTAGAAGCATGGGGTTAATTGCAATGTGACCCTTGTCCTTTGACCTTGAATATTTGTTCAAGGTCAAAGGTCAAGGTCATTTCAAAATTTTAAAAATTTTCAATTTTTCTATTTCTCAAGCCATTTCTGGTTTCTTTTGTAAAAAAAATAAATAGTAGAGAGTAAAATATGAAAAATATATGAAATTTAAAGAAGGTGGAAAGACCTCTAATTGTTCGAGAACAATTAGTCTACTAGTTATACCAATAATTTTTACCTCATTAGATTTATTTAATAAGCATATCCTTTATGGAATTTAAAAATGATATGCTAATAATAATGATGCAAAACTTTGGGAGCAGATTATTAGTCACATATATATAGACATGCAGTGACATGGTACAGAATGATACCTGTCAGTGGTTAATAAATTTCATACCCAGTTCAGCTTCGCCTTGCTGGGTATGAAATTTTCTAACCAGGTACTGGTATCATCCTGTACCCATGGTCACTGAATGACTATGTAACAAATTAAACCCACAGATGACATATATTCAGGTGTCTATGGTTTGTAAAATTGATCATTTGTTTTCTTTATTTTCTTCCGCATCACATACTTATTTCTAACCACATAATTTTGCCATTTTTGTTTGCAAAAGAATTGAAACTAATGTTCTATTGACCAGGTAAAAGTGTTAAAAAAGAACGATAACTCCGTATTGACCGTGTTTTGTTTTTCCAGTGACTGTGTTTACAAGTATTACCCTCCCCTTACCTGACAGACAACAACCAATCACATGCCCTGGGATATCATCAAAATCTCATCAGCAGTGGGTAAATTTTTTTTTTTCAAAAACCTTTATATGAGGATTTAAGTGGTAGCAGATCTAATTAATATCTAGCTCATTAGGATACTTTTGTTTACCTCTTTAGGGAATGGGAAAACTGATCATAGTAGCTGACATTTTCTGGTTTCATAATCTCCTTCTCCTCCCTAAAAGTCAGTTTAAAGTTTATAAATGTATATTCATGTCTTCAAGTATATACTGTGTGTTTGATCTGCCATTCATTGTCCATTACATGAATACATTTCTAGCAAACTTTTAGTTTGTTATATTCTTCTAAATCCCACATATTTTTACTCTTTGAGAGAAAAAAAAAAATCTGGTCATGAACCAAGGAATTTGAAATGACCAAATTTTTATCTAAATGTGTTTGCTGTTGCATAAAAATACATAAGGTAACATTTTTGTAAGACCCATTTTTCCTCTGATTTTGCTTTGGAAATATTGATCTGCCAAAAGAAATCTAAATTTAAATGAAATGCAAAAAATTCAGCATACTTTGCCATGCAAAATTTGACAGGAATTGCTTTCTAGCCAACAATTTTTAACATGAATGATATATTAGTCATAAATCGCAGTGAAAATTATCTTAAATATAAAAGGACCATGGAAACTTAAGAAATTATTTGAACAAGAGAGGAAAGCTTATGAAGATTTCAATATTCAGATCCCTCTGCAATGACTGACCCTCTTTTCCTGAGGTGGTCTGGTAACTGAGGCTGAGGGTGAACCTCTGCCTTCACCAACAGAACAGGGCTGTCCTTCCCGACTGAGGGCTCAGGGACTTCCTCCCTCTGTTCCTCAACTCTGTCTTCAGTGTGAGGACTGCCATTCAGTTGTGGAGGAGTGTCATCCTGTTCCTCTTCATGTGCGTATCCATTTACAGCATGACTTGAAACTCCATTTATCTGTAAATTTAGGATTTAAAAAATAGCTTTTGCAAAAAGATAACATTTTTGCAAACTTTATGGAAAATTAATATGTAAAATAAAATTTGAAATCAGTGTTATGTTGCATGTATTATATAATATAAGGTAAAATTTTAAGATTCAATGTGAAATTTATGATGCAAAGCTCTAAATGTTATGTCTTTAGTAATGGCGGTCAGAATTTGCAAGAGAATTCAAAATATAGTAGCCAAGCTTCAAAAGAGAGATAACTCTTAGCTCTTCAAATATTATCCACTCTCAGTATAATGTAACTTGTGTTACCTCATCATAGTAGCTGGTCTCTGGTGTTGGCATCACTGTTTTCAGCTCTTTTATCTTCCTCATGTGGTCCAATCTCTCCTCATCCACATCTGGAAGGGGTTCCTCTACCTTAGTGGGAGATTTTGGAGGGGGAGGGGCTCTCCTTTTCTGGGGGACAGCATAGATGTCCGTGTCATTTACAGCTCTGACAGGGGATTTCGGAGGTTGTCCTGATGGCACGTGAACAGGTGAGTTGTTTTTCACCATAATATCATACTTCTCTTTGTTGTACAATTCCACCTTGAAAAATAATTAAGAAATACCATGAGGCCTATGGGCTTTGATGGTCACCTGAGTATCATGAGTAATTTTCTCAGGCTATAACTCAGCCAATCCTGAGAATGGAACTCAGAATTTATGTGCCTTGAATTTTACATCTAGCTAGGATTCTATGTTCATTATCACATTGTAGGAAGCTTGTCTCCTATATGCTCAGATTTCAAAAGCATAATGCATTTTAAATATTTGATCAACTTAACCCCATCCTTTGGATACAAATTTCACAATCTGGAAGGGCTCATAGCTTAAAGCCATTATGCATACAGTTTGCTTGCAAAATGTCCAGAATGAATAAGATTTACAAAGGTACAATGCAATGCAGAGTAATTAATTTTCAAGTTGTGACTAGGTTACACCCACCATATGGGCCTGGACCCAGGGCACATGAACTTAACAAGTATGCATAAGAGCTAACTTGCTCATTATAAACAATTATAAACAAAAAATTGGTTACAATTGGTCCAGGCATGCATTTCATAAAAGATAAATATGTTCAAAAGTTTATGAATGATGCATGACAGAGTACAATGGACAGGAACTGACAGCAATAGACTGATTACCTAAACAAGAGGCCCAAGGTCCTTAACGGTCACCTGAGTATAATAAAACAATTTAGAAGTTAAATACACTGATAGATGAAGCTTTGTTGCCCTAAAGCAAGAGAAGTAGGAAGATCAGGATCAACAAAATAATTAGTCTAGTATTCAGTATCAACTCATAACTTAAGTTCTTATCTGTCCCCCACTTAATATTATCCCCATGCAGACTATTAACAAACTATTAGTGCTTCTGTGCTATTTTTAAACCCATATTAAGACCTCTAGCATTGACCTCTCTTATGGTCTTTGAAGAATTTTTAATAAGTTATTTTTGTCTCATTTTTATTTATCTATTACTTACAGGTCTGCCTGATTATTAAAACTAAGAAAGTACTTTTTGAATTATATGATAAACTTTCTTGCATAATTATCTTATTCTATTAATCTTTCAAATACATTATTTACAGTGATTAATTATCAAAGGTGAATGGAAAAGGGGAATAACTTCTCTCAGTAGAATACAAATTAATAGAGCCCTGTCCAGGACCAGAATGCTTAGACAAATTGTCCAGATGTTCAAAAATCTGGTAGAAATACGCTTACTTATATCATTTAAACTTTTACTCAGTTTGCTTTCGATATGCCCAGAAGCAGAGAAGAATTTCACAGGTACAATGCATTTTCACTACAGATTCAACAAAGCCTTACCCTAACACCAGAACCCAAGACCAAAGGTCAAGAAATTTACAAATTTGGAAGAGTTACCCTCATCATCATAACTATGGACTTCAAAGAATTAACACTTTTCCACTATATTATCAAAAGCCCCCACCCACCCCCCCTTCCTCGTTATGCCAGAACCCCTGACCCTAGGGCCACAAGATTTAAAAATTCTGTTCGAAGCTCCCATCTTCATCATAGCTAAGCAATTTATTTATCAGCTCAACACTAAGGAGCAGACAGGATTAGTTAATGATTAATTAATAGAATTAATGCATTTTCACTATATAATCAATAGAGCCCCCCTCCCCCCTCCCCCCCCCCTTCCTCAAGAACCCCAAAAACTGAGGCCATGTATTTAAAAATTTTGGAAGAGGCATCCTTGCCTATCATAATCATGCACTTAGTTTGTTTAAATAATCTCCAGTAGCAAAGAAGAAGATTTTCATAGAATCAATGCATTTTCACTATATAATCAATAGAGCCCCGCCCTAACACCAGAACCCCTGACCCTGGGGCCATGAAATTCACAATTTTTTAAAAGGCATCCTTATGCATCATAACCATGCACTTGGTTTGTTTAAATAATACCCAGGAGCAGAGAAAAAGATTTTCAAAGAATTAATGCATTTTCACTATATAATCAATAGAGCCCTGCCCTAATACCAGAACCCCTGACCCAGGGGCCATGGCTTTCACAATTCTGGAAGGGGCCCACCTCCTCATCATAACTATGTACTTAGTTTATCACCTTAATGCCCAGGAGCAGAGGAGAAGATTTTCAAAGAATTAATGCATTTTCACTATATAGTCGATAGAGCCCCGCCCTAACACCAGAACCCCTGACCCTGGGGCCATGAAATTCACAATGTGGGAAGAGGCTCTCTTGCTCATCATAACTTTGTACTTAGTTACTTAAATTAATACCCAGGAGCAGAGAAGATTTACAAAGAATTAATGCATTTTCACTAGATAGTTGATAGAGCCCCGCCCTAACACCAGAACCCCCGACCCCGGGGCCATGACATTCACAATTTTGGAAGAGGCACTCTTGCTCATCATAACTATGTACTTAGTTACTTAACTTAATACCCAGGGGCAGAGAAGAAGATTTTCAAAGAATTAATGCTTTTTCACTATATAATCTATAGAGCCCCGCCCTAACACCAGAACCCCTGACCCTGGGGCCATGAATTTCACAATTTTGAAAGAGGCACTCTTGCTCATCATAACTATATACTTAGTTACTTTATTTAACACCCAGGAGCAGAGATGAAGATTTTCAAAGAAATAATGCACTTTCACTATATGATCTATATAGCCCCATCCTGGGGCCAGAACCCCTGACCCTGGGGCCATGAATTTCACAATTTTGGTAGAGGGCTCAATGCTTATTACAATGATGCCAACAGTTTGAGTGCTTGATGTCCAGGAGTAAAGAAGAAGATTTTTAAAGATTGCATTATTTTTGGTGGTTTTAGCCCCACCCCTCAGGCCCCAGGGGGGCAGGGACCATGAAATTCACAATTTTTGTTCCCCTTCACCTATAGATGCTATATGCCAAATTTGGTTGAAATTGGTTAAGCGGTTTCAGAGAAGAAGCTAAAAATGTTCAAATGTTAACGCACGACGCACGCCGACGGACGAGAACGGATAGCAATAGGTCACCTGAGTGACTCAGGTGACCTAAAAATAACTTAGGGCCAAAACAGGTAAAAGCAATATCTACAAATTCTATTGTTTGCCTCAAAGTAATTCAGTGAAGATGCTGTGTACTGTGACCTAATTACCTGTTGTGTGAAAATGCTGATTTATACGTAATTATATCTACTGTGACCTAATTACCTGTTGTGTGAAAATACTGAGTTGAATTTCTTTCTGTGACCTGAATTCCAGCAGTTTCTGGTATTTAGCTCTGGTCTGCCACATTCTGAAGAAGCTCTGTATCACTACTATAGCTCTCACCTTGTCCATCTGCTTCTCAGCTTGAAGCTGCTTACTGGCCTGTTTAGCTTTCCGTGAGCGGAAGGCTGCCAAATAGAAAAGGCAAACAATTTAAAAACGTCCTTAAAGCCAATATCAAACAGTAAATTTCAAATGAAATCATAGGTGAAAAAATAGCTTGTTATGGAAAACTAGATTTTGTTCATCTTTAAAAAAAAATTTTAGGCATAAGTCTAAACTTTATTTTTTTCGGTGACCAAAACTTTATTACAAAATCATTTTCCTTATAACAGAAACTAGCAAGATTTGTTTTAATACTGGGATGAAAAAAACCCCACATTTCTCTTTATATATATATACACATCTAAAAAAAACAGTTTTTCAAACAGAAAATATGTACACACACAGAATATACCACGGACTTAGTACAATTTTCCAAGAAGAATTACTTGACATTGAGAAAGTCAGACAGCCATACCGGCAAAAACAGAACTACACCACTATGTTTCACTAGACTACAACACTCCTTACCAATTTCTTCATCTTGAAACAAAAGTAGAAGAAAATTTATCTTCATTAACTTATTTTGAAAAGCAACACTGGATAAATGTACGTTTCCATTTTTTTTTTTTTAATGATCTGTCAATAAATAAATGCCATAATTAAAATAATAACCTGATATGAGTGACACAACAGTACAAGGACCTTTTTCATGTTTATGCTGAAAATTGTATATGCATAGCTTGCTGATTGAAGTGCTTGCTTATACTTGCTAGTAATGTTGGTCCTATGCCGATTACTAAGGTCAACGCTACTCAAGGATATGATTCTACATGAAGTAGAAATTCTAAATTTCAGCATAGTATTTTTTAAAATTTGATTTCTAAACATTTATAAAATTGTTTTGTACTAAAATGCATTTGAAAGGACTTCAAAATTCAAACAACTCATTACAAACCATTTATTTCTTCTAATTCACATTTTGGACAGAGAAGCTAGACTAAGTAAAATATTATGAAATCCAATATTTTCTTTTTCCCTGATGTACAGGGATTTAGAAAATATAAGTAGAGAACATGTTTAATCCATACAATAAACACATGTCTACAAAGAGAAGACAACTCTTATTTGGCAAGCTTGTCAGTAGCCCTACATCTGGATTTTGAGACAACTTTGACAACCTTGTCAGTAGTCCTACCTCTCTGGATTTTGTGACAATTTTGACAACCCTGTCAGTACAGTCTTACCTCTCTGGATTTTGTGACAATTTTGACAACCCTATCAGTGTAGTCTTACCTCTCTGGATTTTGAGTACACTCTCCTGCTCTTTTTTGGCACTTTTCTGTCTCTTCCTGACAAAGTATCCCCTCAGTCTGGCCTGTATTGTAGTAGCTGCCTTCTTCCTCTCCGCTATCATTGGTTGAACCTTCTTCCTAACTAGGTAACCCCTGAACACTAAAAATAGAAGAAAAGCAATTACAAAGTCGTGATCAAAACTGAAATCTTATCTTCTTAAATTTTTTGTCAATAGCAAATAAATGAATAGAAAAGTGACTAGAAAGAATTTAGACTGTCTAAAAATTGTTTCCTTTTGGACACTGCTGCTTGCAGAAATGATAACTATGCATCACAATGCAGCATGTTCTATCAATGATTCATAGTACATACCTTTCTGTAGTTGAACAGCTGATGTTTTCTGTGCAATATACAATTTTTTATACTGTCTTCTTGCTAAATACATTCTTATACCTGTAAACAAAACATCAGAATTTTATTCTATACAAAAAAAAATCAAGGCAAACAAATTTGGTAAGGAATTCACATCTCTGATTTAAGAAGTGTAAAAAAGCCATACAGAAATCTACTTACATGCTTGGATTTTGGTAACAGCTTTCTCTCTCTGCCATTTAAGTCTGTGGAATTGACTGATAGCTAGATATCTGCGGATTGCGGCTTGGATACATGTGATTTTCTTGTTCCTTTCCTCATACATTCTAGCTAGCTGTTCTACATGATAATACTTCAGGAAAACCTAATAAAAGATGTCATGATTGAGCTTACACGTATCTTACACATATATCATTAAAGTTGTACTTTGCAAGAGTTTGTCTATCTGTTCTACCATGTCAATGCTCTGATCATCCCTGTATTTTAATACCTGTTATCCAAATAAAATTGACATCATATATGGAAGTCTGTAAGTATACCTTAGTTTTGCCTAATTGATACAAGGACATATTCAATCTGTCCAGCAGAGTAAAACAGCAATCTCTAGTATAATCCACCCTCTCGTCCCATCTGAAGGCCAGCATGGAATACCTGTAAGATAAGTGATATATTTTCTTATCTCATAAGATATAACTTACCATGTACAATGGTCTTATAGTTTTTTAAATAGGGATGTTCTTTACCTCCATCAAATCAACCTACCTTTTAAGGAATTCAGCAAATGGAATTCTGTGAGAGTACCCCTCCCTCCGTATGCGGGTGGTCTCCAGTACCCCTGTATAGCGAAGTTGTACAGTCACCTTATCAGGCTCAAAGTCATCAGGGAGCTTCTGTTCATTAGGACGAATACATCTGAAAGATACAAACATAAGACACCATTAAGATAGGAACAATGTAAACAACATAATTGCCCACCAGTTACATTGCTCAGTGATATTGCAAGAATGGTTCAGATGCAGATTTGGATTGGATCAAATTTGAAAACTTGGAAAAAGACCAAAATGAAGTCCTAACAATTAAGGATCACTGAAACATTATATATACATGATGTAGGTCAGGTTACTAAGCATGCATTTGAAAAAGCATTCAAAGAATGACCACACGGCAAAATTTGTTAGAACCATTTTTGATATGCTGCAAACATATTCATGATGTAGATATTCACCTTATCTTTACTCTATGGTAGGCATTTGAAAATCCACTTTTGTTGCAAAGGCACCAAAAAAACTCTTCAGAGAGCATGGGAAATATTTGTATTAAATTTATATAACAAGCAAGCAGATATCTCCATTTCTATCAACCTGCTGGTCTGATTGAGGTTACCTGACAAAATGGGGAGATCCAGCCACCATCTTGGCTAGCAGATCCATTAGAGAGTATCGGAAGTAGGTCGCCACGGTCTGTTGAATTTTGGTCATACTTGTGGATCCTGACCCCTACAATTCCACAGAATATTTAAGATTTCCTCTATGTACATTTAAATATATTTAAATCAGAATTGGAATTGATACCAGTATTTGCCCCATGTAGTAGTTAGTAGTTGCCCTAAAACCAAATGTTCAGTGATACGTATTCACTTGCACACTTATCTGAAGAACTGATTACCAACACAGAAAGCATAAAACACAATAACTTCACCAAAAATCAATTGTTAGTTATGGCCATTTCCTACACCCATAATGAACAATTTAGATTTTTTTTTCCATCTACAACTCAAATATTGTGTTAAATATTGTGAAAGAAAATACCTAATACATATAACCTGCATTATTTTCAATTATTTCACTTAAAAAAAATAATAGTTTCCATAAGAAATAAAATTTCCTTAAAATCTTCTTGTCATGAAAAAAAAAGTTAAAAGACTATACTAAACCTATGCCTAAATCTACGTAATTTATGTAATATGTAGATAAAAGGATTAGAGAAAAAAATCACAACAGCTCCCTAATTTATTACAGTTTTGAAAACATACAATTTATTTTGGAAGAAAAACTAAATATGATAAAAAAAAATTCAAAGGATAACAGAAATTAAAGTTTTATTAATGTTCAAATCAAATCTAAATGTTAATGTGAACTCTGCAGGGTGCACAAGTAAATAAAAGAGAATTCTGATTTCTGGGTCAATTAAATACTGAGTGACCACTAACCACTAACTTCTGTGGAAATATTATAGACGTATATCCAAGATTTGTTAGAAAACCTTCATGAACATCTCATTAACAATGAGACCAACTGCCTCCAGGTGTATTGTAATAGATTTTGTTGTTTGTATAAAGTAAATGAGGTCTGTTTTATAACTAACCATGATGAAGGAAACTTTGTTGATGAATCAGACAATTAATTGTGATTGAAACTTGCATCTTTATTCATTTTTTTTTTTTTTTTTAAAATTCCAGGAATTTAATAGATGTGGTTTTATTGTCTGTGTGAATTTAAAAGAAATTTGATTTTCACCATGATTCTGACATGGTCAACTGTGGTTACTTTAAAATATTATAAATGTATACATAAAAAAAACCCGATCTTATATTCCTGCTTACGGGGGTATACAATGATTGGATGCATAATCTTGATTAGTTTTCAGCTGTATCAGGCAATACTTTATATCATATTATAAATATATAGTTTTTAAAGTTTTTTTTTCCCTAATTTTCATACACTTTTAGCTATCAAAAATTTTTAGTTACATACATTTTATAATAGCATCTGAATTTTTAGATTATATATATGTATGCATGCAAGGTTTAATAGTTAATTTAATAGGTCTTCTTTCAAAAAACTGAAATTGACTACAAACTGACTAAAACTTAACATTGCATATTGATGTAGTAAAACACATAGGCTTTAACATTCTCAGTATTAGTTAGCAAATGAATGTTTGATGATGATATATAAAATGCAAAACACTTAAAATGAAACTGAGGAATTGCACTAAAGCTCTTAGGTCAATACTTTACTGTTAAGTGCTAAGTTTGATGTGGCAAAAACGAAATCAAGATGACAAGTATACATGGATGTTTGAATGGCAAGGTGACAATGCCATTACTTACAAGAGCACCATAGATCTGCAAAAATAGTGGGTCAAAAGTCAAACTTAATATCATGACACAGTGGACTAAAAACTATGGGAAAAAAACTGCTGCTAAATTAAAATACATGGATATTGTCAATCTATAATGTAATTTCAAGATATTTGATGATTAGGAACAAAGCCAATATAAAACAAAAATTTGAGCTTCAATAAGAATTATACTTTTTTTCCCTAATTCTACTTTAAAACACTTAATAATAAAATAATGCTATTTTATATTTTCCATGAGTAATCATTCATAGCATCTGCCTGTCCTTGGTTTGATAATCCATCTCTATACATGTAGTATGCTACAAAGTTTATGCCTTTAAAATACTAAAAACAAGGTATTTGAGATCTATATGAATATTACTCTATGTAACCAAAATGAAGTGGTAGCAATCGGTGAACTAACACATGGTTGTGGCCATTTACCAAGGTAGGGGGTTCAATGGACAGCACTCAAAAATCGAACAGATTTAACTTAACGATGGGAATTTCATGCACTGATCTGATTGGTTGATATCTTACCCGGCTTCCTCCCATGCTGGAGGATTTAGAGTTGTATGACATGATAGTGATTGGTCCACCACTCCCCGGAGATCCGACAGAACTGGTCGGTGTCTGTCGACTAGATCTAATGCTGCCATCCGCTAGATTTCCTTTAATGGACATTATCAATATACATTTCAAACTCAGTAGAAATCAATGTTTTCGTTGGTACTTTTTACAACTATTTGCATTAATGAATTGCTAAGGAAAATTGTCAGCAACAACAAGCTTTAGGTTAACAAAAATAGATAAAAAGCAAAGTAATTTTACTTATAAGTGCTGTCCACAGAAGCAATACATATATGGTATTATTGTAATATATCAATATAATATATAATATATCAGCACTGTACTGTATGAGTTACCTGTCTTTGTCAGTGGTGTACTGTTCGAGTTACCTGTGTTTGTGAGTAGTGTCCTGTTTGAGTTACCTGTATTTGTCAGTGGGATACTGTACATGTATGTGTAACCTGCTTTTGTCATTGGTGTACTGTATGAGTTACCTGTCTTTGTTATTGGGGAACTGTGTGAGATATATGTCTTTGTCAGTGGAGTACTGTATATGTTACCCTTTTTGTCAGTGGTGTATTGTATAACTTACCTGTTTTTGTCAGTGGTGTACTGACTGAGTTACATGTCTTTGTCAGTGATGTACTGTATGAAGTACAATGTACTGGTCTTTGTCAGTGGTGTACTGTATGAATTATCTGTCTTTGTCAGTGGTGTACTGTATGTGTTATCGGTCTTTGTCAGTGGGGTAGTGTATAACTTACCTGTCTTTGTCAGTGGTGTATTGTATAACTTACCTGTTTTTGTCAGTGTTGTACTGTATAACTTACCCGTCTTTGTCAGTGGTGTACATACTGTATGAATTACCTGTCTTTGTCAGTGGTGTACTGTATGAATTACCTGTCTTTGTCAGTGGTGTACTGTATGAATTACCTGTCTTTGTCAGTGGTGTATACTGTATGAATTACCTGTCTTTATCAGTGGTGCACTGTGTGGATTACCTGTCTTTGTCAGTGGTGTACTGTGTGGATTACCTGTCTTTGTCAGTGGTGTACTGAAGAGGGATCTTATCACTACATTCCCCGAGGCTCGTAACATGCTGACAACATCACCAGGGAGACGATCACGATTCTTCTCCAAAAATCCCAACGCATCATACACAACCTTTAATAAATCATTAGCTATATCAACAATTAGAATCTAAGATCATGTAAAATAAAGTATCATTCAACAGTGTATCAAATCTATTTTTAGTATTTCTTTTTTATTAAGATTTTCATATAGTTCATTGCACAATTAATCTAAATGATTGTGGCTCAGTGTATGAAGCATACTGTACATGATACAAATTACAACTCCAAAACATTGGCAGTCTAATCTTCACCCAAAGGCTATGCTTCCAGATAATTTTTTTTCCCAATCATTCACAACAGAAGAGTCCAATAAGTTATTTCTTATCCAAAATTTCCTATATATATGAGTACATGTACATACAGTGGTTAAATTCATTACATACAGTGCCTGCATAGTGGTCAATGGAGAAGGTGAGGTTGTTCCCCTTCGGTCTATTGTAGTTATTGTTCTGGATATTCTTGTGAAATTTTTCTAAAGAAAAAAAACATAATTATAAAATAAATTAACATACATGTACAACTCTGCAGTCATTTTACCTTTAGAATACCAGACTGTAATAAAAAAGTCATCTCTATCCACAAACTGTATTCCGACAATCATTTTACTTCCTACCAGATTCTGCAAGCTGCTGTCTTCTTTTTGAATGAACTTTTTGCCTTACCTACAAGAGACATGTCTGTAGCCTTGGGGAAGTGACTTTCCTCGTCCAGCAAGGCCAGTAACCCCATGGGCTTCATCAGAAACATGTCCAGTAGAGGTCTATTGTCCACAAACGAAATGTCCACACCCTCCAAGCCCTCTGCTCTGTATTCTTGCTGAAGTTAAGAAAATTAATTTTAATCATTTGTAATGACTTTATACATCATGTTCAATCATAGAAAAAAATCTAAAGAAATGTAATGCATAAATATTATTTCTAATGCATCAATGAATGTTATAATTACCATTTCCCATGCAAAGATATGCTGATTAAAGTAATATTGGATTTGTTCATTAGCAATATTGATCAAAAGTTGTTCAAAGGAGTTCTTGGGAAAGTTTTCAAATCCGAAAATATCCAGTAGTCCAATTATGAGGTTATTGTCTTCTCTGGAAACAGTAAAGATTTATAAGTTATTGAACATTCATATGACTTTAGAACAGAGTCAAGACCAGTAATATAAAGGAGAAATCAGACAGAGAATTCAAAGATCTAATTTATATATTACAATGTACTTTTTGTCATCAAACTTCATCACTTTGAAAGTTATAATAGTTAATACTGAAAGAAATTTGTTGCTTGCAATACAAAATAGGACAAAGTATAGTGTACATAGTCAGATATTTAATTCTGTTAGTGGTTAGCCTACTAAATATGAAGCAATGATCATACTTTCCCATGGTGCTTGGTTTTAGAAGACTGTTAATCCTGTTGACAATCCAGCTGAAGAGACGTCCGTACAGAGCCTTAGCCATGGCATCACGAGCATCAATGGCCTCCGGAACAGAATTATCCCTGACAATCAATTCTCCCCTAGCCACCATTCCAGTGGTTGTCAAGGACTCAACTAGGTCTACAGCAGGAATTCCAAGTAATCGCGAGACTGTTAAGTAGAAATACGAATATTCAGATCACAATATTGTCTTCAAGGAACACAGAATTTTATCAAGGACTGGTAAAACTTACCAATCCTTATTTAATGATACTCAGTATACTGCTTTATTTGCTAAATGACAGGTCAATACTGTAACTCTTAACAATCATCTAATCATAAACTTTCTCAACCTCTCCCAGCTGATATACTTTTTTTACCCTGGAATCTGTACCAGAACCCAGAAAACACGAATTTCAAAATGACTGATTTCCACAGGTTAATATTTCTGTGGAAACACAATTTTTGTTCAATCCATGAGTAGAAATACATGTAATGCAGTTTTCTTGGATTGCCTTTGTTTATCTTACTAGATGCACTTAACATAGGCTGGGACAAATTTCTGCAGAAAACTTGTGCCTGCATACAGTGTAAATTAATCCTACACAGAAAAAAGTAGGGCTGGTACAGTAGCAGGATAATTGCTTATGAAAGTTATGCACAGTTTACCTATTACTTGACCAGGAGTAAAGAAAGTTACTGAAGATTGCATTAATTTCTATGGTTTAGGCCCTATCCTTCAGACTCCAGTGAGAGAGTAGCAAATGTATAATCTTTGTTTCCTTTACCCATAAATTCTATACATCAAAATCAGTAGAAACAAGTCCTACCCTCTTTGAGAATAAGCTGAATATGTTCAGAAGTCATGAAACAATGGAAGATTGATGAGAATGAAAAGCAAAGGGTCACCTAAGTGACTTGAGTGACACAAATGACCGAGATAAGATTTAGTGTTAAGTTACAGAGGTAACTTACTGGTGTTGACAAGTTCCATATTGGTGATAACACAACTGTCTCCTTTGTGGTCTGTGTTCTCTTTCTCCTCAAACTCTATGTTACCCGTATGTAATATTGCACAGATAACACTGTACACTGCTTTCACTTCCTAAAGTATCAATCAATACTCAAATTACAATATAATCCTCCAAAATCTGAATTACTAATGAAAATCTTTTATCAATCTCTTAAAGTCCAATGAAATAAACAAAAATATTCATAACAATACAATACATGTCACTTGTTGGTATTAAGTCAAATGTCCAAGTACCTCTGGTTTGAATCCAATGATGTCAAAGCAATGTTGTATGGCCTTGAACTTGACCCTGTTTACCGAGATGGAAGAGACATCTGGTGGCTGACTGCTATACTCATCAATATATCTATAAATACATATTTGTAAATATTCAACTCCTTAAAAAATGTTTCCATCACATGGATGAATGAAAATTACTCAACAGCTACAACGTCTTTTTAGCAAGGACCTTGAAAAAGAGGCCTTGAGAGTGTGCCCTAAGAAAGAATATTGTGTGAAATTTTTGATAAAAAGCCTTTCAAGCTCTTTTGAAAAATGCAATTTTAGATTGGGTTTCAATGACTTGAGATGTAAGATTGAAATACTGAATTGATTACTTGTATCTTGTGTTTTCTTTCAGGTTATATTCTGCCCTCTCTGAGGAACTCAGTCCATCATAAATGTAGTAGAACACATGGAAATTTTGCTCTTTCCTGTAATACATGTAGTAATAAGAATTTTATGTTAACATATATGTTCATGTCCAACAATAAAAATTCAAACTGCTATGTAGAATAGAAAATGCTAGACAGACTTACGCTGCTTGTGAAATAACTCTAGACTTCTCTAACAGGTATTCAGTGATTTTGGCTGTAAATAAAGAAAATGAAACATGAAAAATACAAAAAAAAAAGGGGGGGGGGGACCAGTAGACTCTGATGAGAGTGTTGCTCTAATGATTTGTACTTATTACAGAGTGGAGGAAAAAGTTGCATCTAGTCTACAAACACATTTTTTTTTACTTTCAACAATTATGTATCCTAGTTTTGTCTTTACTTGTACCATCTTTACTGAAATTAAATCAGACCAGCTGTGGGAGGAGTAGAATTTTGAAAGATTCTAAGAAATTATTCTACTTTTATCACCATTAAATCATCACTCACCTAAATCTTAAACCAATGAAAATTATGTACCTTGGTGTACACCAAGTACTACTGAATTTGAGTAAAAAACTATGGAAGTAAGAATTTGAAAGATATTCAGGAAAAATTCTGTTTTTATTTACCATGGCAATACCGTTCATCTAAAACCATAAATTGATATATATGTATAAAATTTGTAGTTTACTTGTGTACCATGTTCTATTGATATGGGACCAAAACTGTCATCAGAGTAGCATTTGAAAGAGATGACAGAAATTTATATATTTAAGTAACCATATCATCATTGCTCATTGAAATAAGAAACTGATGAATATATATCTTAGTGTAGTCTACTTATGTGCCATGTTATATGGAAATCAGAAAGAAATGTCGTCGGAGTAGCATTTGAAAGAGATCACTGAAATTTCTATTTTTAGTAACCATGACAAAAGCTATTCATTGATGTAGTCTACCAATTCAATTTTATTGAAATTGAACCAAAACTGTATTAGGGATAGTTTAAAATTTATGACCACAATTGTAAGAGAGGTAGCATTAAAAAATATTGTTCCCAGATAATCAGAAAGACAGACAGATTGACAGATGACAGACACCTTTATACTATCGCATAAGATCTTGTGGTTTTCACCTAGAGGAGCTAAAAATCAACACAGGAAAAACAATTCCAGATATTCATCATCTATACAAAGCTAATGATGATCACCCAACTACATGTAAGTAAAATGGAACACGTACAAAAAATAAGCATTTCTAATTCAGCAGACAGGGAGAGAAAGTTTGTTACTTCTAGGTATAATAGGCTTTTTATCACATGTTTTGGATTAAAAATATCTGTAAAGTCTAAGAATTAAAATACCTCCGATGACCATCCCATTTCGAGTAAAGAACATTTCTAGGTACTTTCCAAATCGACTTGAGTTGTCATTGATGACAGTTCTAGCATTACCAAAGGCTTCCATCAGAGGATTCACCTGTAGGATTCTGTCCTCAAGGGTTCTGTTGGCCGCCTGTTTGCATAACATAGAAAAATGCTTCATTTACATAAAGAAATGGGAATCTATCTCATGGTAGTTCAAAATGTTTTGTGTACATGCATTTGCCATTTCCTTTAAATATATTACCATGAATTCATTAAGTTTCTGTTATCCAATGATCTGTCCTACCTTACCAAGTTTGGTTATTCAGTGAAGAATATAAGCAATATCTTTTTTTTTTTTACTTTATACATTTCATTCTGATCAATTCCTTGACCAGTATGTCTGTTCCTACCTTGCCGAGTTGTGTCAGCTGCTGGACCAATAAATTAGCACTCTCCGTTTTACCAGCCCCTGATTCACCACTGATAACAATACACTGCAACAAAGAGAATACAATTCTAATTTTAATAAAACTCAATGAAATATCTTTCTATATCATCCAGATATAAGATCAAAGTTTGTCTACACACCTGATACAGGTAATCTTACCTTGGTAACACACCTGATACAGGTAATCTTACCTTGGTAACACACCTGATACAGGTAATCTTACCTTGGTAACACACCTGATACAGGTAATCTTACCATGGTGACACACCTGATACAGGTAATCTTACCTTGGTGACACACCTAATACAGGTAATCTTACCTTGGTAACACACCTGATACAGTGGCTGCAAAGTTATTGTTGACAACTTACACGAACGATCACGTTACACGAACGATTCCGCACGATTAACGCACGATAAAATCTGTTACACGAACGATCCTTCACGCACACGATTCTACACAATACACGATCTTACACGATTGCTAACGCAAACGCACGATTCTTCACGCAAAATAGTTCAAATTCTTTAGGAATGGATTTTCTCAAAACGAAATAAGGCTTAATACTTATTTTAGATTTGAAATAATTATTGATATTATTTCATCGACTTTGAAAAATGAAAAAAAAAAAAAAGAAAAAAAAATAGAAAAGGGTATTTCTGGAACTAAATACATGCAAGACTTATTAATTATTTTAGATTACAAATAATTATTTACGTAATCCTTCGACTTCAGAAAACTTATTTTTGTCTTTTATCAGAAGTTGTACATGTAGGTGGATCGTGAGTTTTGATTGAATTGGATTTCATAATATGCAGAAAGGGATAAGTTTGAAAAAAAAAAATGCCTATTGGCATGAAAATGAATTTATTTAAATTATGAGTTATATCCATGTTTCCATTTGTGAATCTCTAAAATCAACAATTATTTTACATATCATTTATTTGCAGAATTTATAAAAATAATTAAAAGTAAGCTCCAGATAAAACATTGATAAACAAAACCTCGACAATCATGTCGTGTGCATGTATATTTGCCGACTAAATATTTATATAAGCATTGAGAATTGTTTATTTATGTTTGTAAAAATATCTATTTTTGATCTATTGATTTTAAAAATATCTTTAACATAATTAGCAGTAAACATAATTAACATCAGAGAAAAAAATCCTTAAACATCTAAGTCCGGTTTATCACAAAAAATCACGCTATTTGACAAGAACACAATATTGTACGACTTACTATAGTGCTTATTTCCAAGCGATAATTAGTTCGTTCTGCTTTCAATTATGTAAATCGTGCTTTATTTATTTTAATTGGATAAAAAAAAAAAACAGACAAGAGAAATGCTTGTATAACAAATAACATTCCAATAAAAATTTACAAAACGAAATTTACACGTTTCTTAATGCACAATCACGCACGATTAAAACCACAAACGATTGAGTCTGTTACACGCACGATCTCGCACGTTACACGAACGATCACGCACGTTACACGAACGATTCTACACAATTGGTTTGTCAACAATAACGTTGCAGCCACTGTAAGGTAATCTTACCTTGGTGACAAACCTGATACAGGTAATCTTACCTTGGTGACACACCTGATACAGGTAATCTTACCTGGTTCTTTCTGTTGTGCATCATACTCTGGTAGGATTGGTCGGCAACGGCAAAAATATGAGGAGGGTTGTCTTCCTTGCCAGCATTCATGTATCTCTTGGAGTACTATAAAGAGGGATAACTCATAAACACCATGTCACAATATAATTTTTTTTTAAAATATACACGAAAAATGATACAGGTGTTCCCAAGAAAAATTCAATATTCAATACATTATTCTGCAGAATGCATGTATGTACAATAGAGCAGTTTCACTCACCTCCTCAGTATAAATAGTCAGTGGTCTGAAGGGGTTGACTGCCAGCAGTATATCCCCTATGTATGTGTAGATCTGACCTTGACTGTAACGACACTCTAGTTGGGATACAATTGTCTCCTAAAACACACAAAAACAAGAGGCCCATGGGCCACATCGCTCACCTGAGCACCTTGGCAAGGAAAAAACAGAAATCAGTTCAGTATTGAAAAGTTTAAATATAAAAGTGGTTTCAGGGTTGGGGTGGGGATGGGGGGAGGGGGGATGATTTGAACAAACTTGCATCTACACCACCTAAGGATGCTTTTGAATTAATATGACTAATACTGGCTCTGCTGTTCTTAAGATGAAATTTTTATTGATAGATATAGCCTTTATATTTCTTTGTATAACTATGATCCCCTGTTATGGCCCGTTTATACTCCTGGGGGGTCATGATTTGAACAAATTTGAATCTACATTACCTGAGGATGCTTTTATTTTATTATATATGAGCAATCATGGCTTTGCTGTTCTTGAGAATAAGATTTTTAAAGATTTTCCCTATGTACTCCTATATATGTAAAACTTTGATCATGCATTGTGGCCATCCATAAAATGAACAAACTTGATTTTACACTTCTGAGAATGCTTCCATATAAACATGACTTATCATGGCTTTGCTGTTCTTGAGAAGAAGATTTTTCCCTATGTATTCCTATGTAAAACTCTGAATGCCCACTGTGATCCCATCCTAACCCCGGGGGACATAATTTGAACAAACTTGAATCTACACTACATGAGGATGATTCCACATAAGTTTCATATTTTCTAGTACAGTGGTTCTTGAGCAAAAGGTTTTTAAATGATGCCATAAATTTTTCATGAATTCATAATTATCTCCCCTTGGAAGAAGGGTGGCCCTTCATTTGAACAAACTTAAATCCCCTTTACCCAAAGATATTTTGTGGCACGTTTGATTGAAATTGGCCCAGTGGTGTTTGAGATGAAGATGAAAATGTGAAAAGTTTACAACGACAACAAGGACGGACAACGGGCAAATTTCAATCAGAAAAGCTCACTTGAGCCTTTGGCTCAGGTGAGCTAAAAAGACTAATGGCTTATTCCATAGTATTGTTGATTTTTTAAAATTCAAACAAGAGGCCCATGGGCCACAATACTCACCTAGGTCAACTTGGTCCTTCTGTTCTTCAGAAGATTTTTTAAACAAATGTTTTCCCTTTCTTCCATGAAAAATTTTGACCCTGAATTGTGGCCCCCTACCTAACCACAAGGGGTTATGATTTAACCAAATTTGAATCCACACATAATGGGATGCTTTAATATCAATATGACTAACATGGCTTAGCTGTTCTGTAGAAAAAGACTTTTGAAAGACTTTTTTTTTTACAGTAAAACATATTTCCTTGTAAAACTCTCATCTCATAGTGTGGTCCTACCCTATCCCCTTGAGACTTGATTTGAACACACTCAATTCTACATCACTTGAGAATGCTTCCATATTGTATATATTATATAATTAATTATCACCCTGCTTTCTTCAGAAGATATTTAAAAATTTGTCCCTATATAAAACCATGTACATGTAAAACTTTTGTCTCCTAGCTATTATAGCTCCAAATTACTCCTTGGAAGCAATGATTTGGAAAAAACAATCTTCAGAAGATTTTAAAACATTTTTTTCCTATATTTTTCCCATGCAAATCTTTGATCTCCTTGATGTGGCCCCACCCAACTTGAATCAATACTACAGACCCTGAAACGTGCTACTACCCCAAAAAAGCGTGTAACTTTCGTGCGCTTTTCGTTTCGTGCAAACCGTGTAGCGTTTCGTGTAAACCGTGCAGCGTTTCGTGCAAACCGTGTAGCGTTTCGTGTAAACCGTGCAGCGTTTCGTGTAAGCTCCAAAGCGTTTCGTGCAAACCGTGTAGCGAGCGTGCGAGAAGCGTGTGAGAAACGTGCGACTTTCGTGTAAGAACCGTGTGAGAAACGTGCGACTTTCGTGCAAGAATCGTGTGAGAAACGTGTAGGATTCATTCGGAAGTCATTTTATTTTAGATATGGCTATTGATGGATTAACATGTCATTTTGTGTTTGTTACTAATATTATTCGGATATATCATACCGGTGGTATTTTAAGAAAAAAAAATACGGAAACAACAAAATAAAATTACTCGGTAATGTATTTCACATTTGTTTGATTTTCTTTCTTTTTTTATTTAAATAAAGATGGAAAGAAAATGTGTTAAAAGTAATTAATTATATGCACACCAATGTTAAGGTATTTGATTTAATACATTTTTTAAAGGGAGCAATGCTGAACATTTTTTTTTAAAGAAAATTCATCAGGAATCCGGTCTTGTCCTTTTCATTCATTTATTAGAATCTCTTCATCATTTTACAATTATGGTATATAGAGATTACAAGAACATATGGGTAATTAATATAAAATAATAGACAGATAAGGCAGGCGTGAAAAATAAAACACAAAATTTAGTGCGTTGCTATACATGTGAAGTATAGGAATTCTAGGTCGGGGAACACAATTAATTTTTTTTCTTTATAAACGAACAAAATTTTCTTATATTACAAGATTGTGATACAAATAATTTTGAAATGATGAGTCATTTATAGTCTTTTTATGCAAAAAAATTGTCATATAAAGGAATCATAATTCACATATGCATGCATCGGCAAATATAGGGTTAAATATTTCCGGGGGGGGGGGGGGGGGGGGGTTCAAATGAAAACACAAACTTTGAGTTTTTGTTAACACGTTTTTATAAATAATTTTCTTTTTAAAGATGCCCGATGCACCCCTTAAAAATACATTGAAATCTTCTTTACACTTCCAACACTCTTCTTACGACTGTGATCAAGGTCATTTACAACAGCGGTCACGGACTCCGCGTGCCGGGAACTGAAGACGTGTTCTGCTACATATATTACCTCTTGTCAATCATGGCTAAGATGACAACCGACAATAATTCATGAATTAAATTGTTTTATTAGTATTTAATGGGTAGAAATAAATACCCATGGATTTTATTTCTTAAATTTAACCGATTGTCTGTAAACAGTGAATTAATTTGCCAGTGTATTCGTGAACAAAAAATTATAAAGAAATAAATCCTGAATAATTATGTATTAGTTGATTTATTAATCACGCAGTTCTAGAGCATATTTTTTTTTTTAGTTTTTGGTCATTGGACATGTATACATGTATATTGAATGTATTGTTAAGAGCCGCGACTATTGATTACATTTTTTTATTTTGGCTAGACGGGGTTTGAAATCAAGGATTTTACAAAGTGATGGATATATTGTTTTTATTTGATAAACACAATGCCTCAAAAGAGAACTAAAGAATTACAATACCTATCCCCCGGCTTCTCTACCATATAAAATTTTATGATAAATTAAAGTTCAACTCTGTTATGAAACGATATATTTACCATTCTGAATAAAATGCATTTAACGAGTTAAATGTACATGTATCGGGTCTATCCCCCGGCTTCTCTACCATATAAAATTTTATGATAAATTAAAGTTCAACTCTGTTATGAAACGATATATTTACCATTCTGAATAAAATGCATTTAACGAGTTAAATGTACATGTATCGGGTCCCGCTGGAGATATGGATATCTTTTTTTCTTAGAACGAGCATTTGTTTCTATAATAATTTTTTTTCCAATGGTATGCTTACTGAAACAAGTGCCCGTTATATTTATCCAGGTATAGAAGTAAGATCTCGGTAATCTAACCCCCCCCCCCCCCTTTTCACGCAAAATATTCTTGTTTGATGCAGTGTTCATGTACTTATTACCTTTGCAATTTATAAGCAGAACCTAATTTAATCAAATGAAATTATTTATTTACTAAATTAAAAAATGAATTAATCAATAATTAAAAAGAAAGGAAAAGAAAATCAATCCGTTTACAGAAATCATACGCAATTTATTCGTTTGTTTTTCAAATCAATAACTGAGTTTATTTGTCAGTAATAAAAACGACTTTTTACTATCAAAACATTGAATGCTATAAAAGATTATGAATTACAAATATTTTTCTTTTTTCAGTGCGTAATTTAGAGTCTAATGAAAAAGGTTTGTACATAGACGATGATTGGCATTTCACCGGGCGGGTCACATACTCAATGACAACTATTAATTAATTACAACTGAACATTGAGTATTTTATCTGTTAATATAGTACTGGTGAAGCGAGGTTTAATCTTAATTTAATCAGAATGATTGCAATTCTTAACTAATCTTTGATTAATCCGTAATAATTTAAATAAAGTCCGAGAGATTCCGAATAGAAAATCCAGATCGAGGCCAAAGCGTGCGAGAATCGTGTGAGAAACGTGTACAAAGCGTTTCGTGCAGGCTTTCGTGTAAACCGTGCAGCCTTTCGTGTAAAGCGTTTCGTGTAAACCGTGTAGCGTTTCGTGCAAACCGTGTAGCGTTTCGTGTAAACCGTGCAGCGTTTCGTGCAAACCGTGTAGCGAGCGTGTACCGTTCGTGCAGCGAGCGTGTGGGGTAGTAGCACGTTTCAGGGTCTGTATAGCTGAAAGCTTCTATGCAAGTTCTTGAGAAGAAGATTTTTAAATGAGACCACTCAATTTTCACTATTTCTTGATTATCTTTCCTTGAAAGAGGGTGTGGCCCTTTTTAGGATGAACTTGAATCCTCTTTATTCAAAAATACTTTGTGCCAAGTTTCATTGAAATTGGTCAAATGGAAAATAGGAAAAGAATTCAAAAATGTGAAAAGTTTACAACTACATGTATGACAACAACAAAGATGACAGACAATAAACAAATTTCGGTCAGAAAATCTCACTTGAGCCTTTGGCTCAGGTGAGCTAAAAAAGGGCATTTAAGACATGTTTTAATCATACAGTGTATATCCATTTTGCAGCTTATTCTTGAAGTTCATGAAAAAGAGCTTTAAGCCAGGTAGTGAATATTAGTATATGTAAGCTTATTCAGTGTGGTCAATATCAATAAAATCTAATGAATATTTCTCACGTAAGAAAAAGCATTTGCTTTCAGGAACTTAGCTTTTCAAAACAATCATGCTAAATGCATGGAAAATTTTACAGACTCTTACATTACAGCACAGATAAAAGAAAATCCAACAGAAAGTAATTAAAGCTTTTATCATCAAAGTTCATTAAGCTTGCACATGCATGTTAATTTTTTCTTCAAGGTTCTTATAGAAAAAAACAGAGTACACTTCCTCATCAAACACACATGTATCTATCACAGACAGAGTAACTAGTAAGTTATTTTAATAAGGAATTTTCTGTAAATATGGAATTACCATTACAGAGTGTCACACTCACCTCATCCAGATTCTCCAGAGTGGCTAAATCATCACTTGTTTTGATGTTCCCTTTTCGAGATTTGCGTCTGGATTTCAGTTTTCCTTTTTTGGCCGTTATTTCAGGTTCATGAATAGTTGTCTCCATTTTAGAGGTCAGTTCTCTCAGTCTTCTCTGAAACTGTTCCCAGGCAACAAATATAATTCATATACTATTGATGTTACAGTAAAACTTGGAAATAAAGAACTCGCTTATAAGAAAATCTCAGTTATAAGAATTAAATAGAGGACTTTCACTGTTTTTTACTTGGATATACAGAATCTCCATTATAAGGAATTTTTTACAAATCCGTAGAGGACTTTCGTTTTTCAACATGGATATACAGAATCAGTTATAAGGAAGCAAAATCTGAGGTCACAGTGACTTCTTTATAACCAAGTACATTGTATATACATGTATATATGGAGGATATTCAATGTTTTCTAGCTGGATGTGGAATTAACTTCAAGAGTAGGACAAAATTCATTTTTTAATATTTTTACAACTGTGAAGCAGGGGGTGAAAATATCAAATAATCCTTTCTCTTGAGTGAAATGAATTACATATCCAACTACAAAACATTGTATTTTCTGTTTATTACATTTTCTTTGATTTAATTTCCTTTTACCTCTGTCTTTTCGTAACGTAATATTGTACGCTGTGACATCATAGTTGCGCAGTTGTAAGATGTCATAGCTAAGTGACTGCGAGATCAAAAAATTGAAACATGGATCTGAACGACATATTTGGAGTACAAACTTTGGCAGTTTTAGTCTGTATCAGGATGGTTCATTTACTCAGCTCACTATCTACAGGGAGTATCAATTTTTCTTAATTATCGCACTCTTCAGAAAAGGAAGGAAAATCAGGAGTTTTGCCACAATCTTTATATTTTCACAGTAAAAATATCACTTTTGATATTTTCACTGTGAAAATATCACCTGTGAAAAATATCTTTATTCAAGGGTTAAATTACTGTATTTTACTGTAATAAATATGTTTTTCCACAGTTTATCTTTATGAGGATATTTTTTATTTGGCACTGCAGATCCCTAATTCACAATCATGACAATGAAGTATTCACTTTTTTCTCCTTTAATTACCATCTTTATTGTACAAACCAGATTTAGGTAACTGAAGTGCTTCCCTGCATTTTTCGAAATCAAGGACAGTTGTACTTACCTGTGAAATATCTTTGGGTAGTTTTGCAATTAATGGATGCTGAAGAAGATCCTGGGCAAATGGACGAGCTTCAAAATCTTTGACCAGACACCTAGAATAAAGAATTTCACCCTAGTAACTATATAGACCCATGGCTAGTCCACTGATAAAAATGCTGGTAGACAGAAGAACACAAGAAGTAGTTTTAATGTGTGAATCTACAGACTAATTGTCTTTGATTTTCAGCTCTTCACATTTTTACTACAAGCGACAATAGCCCTAAATTAGTACTTCAAGTATCTGGAAACACTGGTCATTAAATGAAACTCCTAGGTCAAATAAAATTCCCATCACACAACAACAAACTGGTAACTGATCCAATATTAGCTGATCTGCAGAATGTAAGTTCACTCTTGGCTAATCCATAAATTTCATTTCTCAATTCATTAAATATCTGAATGCGAAAAGTACAAGAAAACTCACTTACAATGCTTATAACGAATTCATTCAGATCATGAAAGTGACATGCAATAACCAATTTTTTTATTTTAATCCACATTTTGTTATTATAATGCTGTTGGTTTACACTTTACAGCTGATGAAAATCCCTCATTATAACCATGGATAGCTATAATCATTTTGATGGCAAACAATCATGAATACATCCTAGGCCTTCATTAATGTTTCAGTAGGTGACATGACATACAGCCTGCATGATCATCTAACAATTCTTACTAAATAAGTCTGTCTACATTTGATGTTAATTATCCCATTTCAATTAAACTCTCCTACCTAGCTTATACATTTAAATCTTTCCAACCTCTTACTATGTAAGTTATTTAAAATGCAAAAGAAGTATAAGCAACAAGAAGTCTGTGAGCCAATGCTCACTAGTAATACCCGCTCTGATATGAATATATGCTCTCATGAATCCCACCATATGGCATGCCCAGAAAAAGATTGTGCTAAAGTTTCAAGCACATGCAATGAGTAGTTGCTGAGAAATTTGGTATGGACAGATGCACGGATAAACAGGAAGTTGACATCAGATTTGTACAAAAATGAATCTTACCATATAGAAATCCTAGACAAAGAATGTGCTAATGAGTAGTTGCTGAGAAAACTGCAACGAAAATTTGTTACAGACAGATGCACAGATAAACAGGAAGCTGATATCAGATTTGTGTAAAAATGAATCCGACCATATGGCATGCCTAGACAAAGAGTGTGCTAAAATTTCAAGCATCTGTGATGAGTAGTTGCTGAGAAAACTGCGACGAAAATTTGTTATGGACAGACACACGGATACACAGACAGACACACAAGGGTAAAACAGTTTACCCCCCTCTCCTTCGGAGCGGGGGTATAAAAACTGAGTATATTCTGATATTTGAAAGTTAATGCATTCTTCAGAAGTCAGTCAAGACTTATTCTTTTAAACTCTAAAAATGAAATAGGCTTGAAGCAATCAAAAAATTCAATGTCATTATAATACAAATCTGTTTTTAATATGCAATTATCTAATTCATTGCTTCTTGTATTTATGAAAAGTCCCCATAAAATGACTGTTCTGTAATTTACTTACTGTGCTATGAAGTCTTTGAAATCATCTGACCATTGATCTGGATTAACCAGCTGAGGCTGTGGATTTCTGCAGAGCGAAATAAAACAAATCACTACGGAGGTAAATCGAAGGCACATATACAGCCATCAAAGGAAGAAAAATTCCACATTACATACCAGGAGAAATTCTGATTTATTGCATGCAGAATAAGCATAATTAGCTCTTCATCATATCGAAAATCAAAGTCTGTCTTGTATTAACTAGATCATTGCCATCTCATCATAACCACGCCAAAGAACATGTACATGTACCCATCAACTGATAAGATTGTTGAAGATTAATGTAATCTGAAGTTTTACAAACATCAAACATTACCCTGGTATTTAATTATCAATAAATTACCTCATAAAGAAATCTTACCGGATATCTACTTGTTTTTGCCTGCTTGTTATTATTATAATTTTTTTCATGTTTATTTGGTTGTTCTTTTTTTTTGTTTTTTTGTTTTTTTGCTTAGTATTTCTTTTTAGTTTTTGTTTTGTTTGTTTATTTATTTGTTTGTTTTTGTTTTTTGTTTTTGCTAAGAAATAGTTCTTGAATAATCTCCTACTGTTCTCTAGAATACTGGTTTCATTTTTTATAAATTAATTAGTATCTCATCAACAAGGTCTAAGAACACAATTTCAGCAAATATGTGTTGAAATCTTTTAATAAATCCATGTCTATCCTACCTCCTTAAAACCAACCTTCATTTGTAACAATTTTTTTTTCAACTGCCTTCATATTAAGTCTAACATTAAGTGAAAGTTTGCTGTTCGTATAAGCAACGTAAGTTTTTAAAAAAAAAAAAGAAAACAGACTGAAAAAATGTGAAAAATAATCATTGCACATATACATGTACCAGTATTTTGGAATAAAAATAATGGAACAAAAATAGCAAAGTCCCTGCACTTTTACGAAAGTGCTGGACAATAATTTGGATCATCAGCTAAGAGGTCTGAATAGAGTCAATCATGTTTTAGAATAAAATTACTGTGACCATAGCCTAGCTGGAAGGAAAATTGATTTATAGCACTCAAATACTATCTACTAAATCTAGGGTATAATAAAGCAATGCTAACTTTATTTATATATAATTCTACAATATAAGATCTTTACTATAATTTAGCAGTGCCAGGCTTGTTCTACTAGGATGCTAATTTATTTATAAATAATCATGATAATTCTACAATATAAGATTTGCACTATAATTTAGCAATGCCTGCCAAGTTTATTCTAGTAGGTTGTAGGAAAAGAGAAAGTCAACATTGAGAATTACTAATAGCATGTTATAGGGTTACCTGTGGAATTAAATTCATAAATTTGTTTACATTGACTTCACTTTCCCTCCAAAAAATTAAGACATTTGACTTACATATTAGGGTCACATAGTACAGAGAAAATTCAAATACACCAAACAAAATTGTAAATATATTTATCAGCATCAAATAAAAGATGATCATTTGCCAACAACTACAAACTCAAAACCCAAAATACTGATTATATTTCATAAGTTAAACTGTTTTCTAAAGTAAACTTGAAAATGATTTAACTGACCAATAAATTGATTGAAAGCTAATAGAATTTGAATTTTATGATATCTCTAAAAAAAATTTGTTTGACTTAAGCCTTAATTCCAGTAACCACACTGATTAAAACCTATACATGTACATAGTTTATATATATATATACACTGTATAATATATATCAAAGATGAAGAACATTTATTAATAACTTAATATAGCACAGAGATCAGAATCTTACATACAATATCAAAATTTTGACTTGAAAACTATATGAAACATATGATCAAATATATTATACAACCTGAAAATTGTACTGATGACCACAAACCCATAACAAAAAAGAAACAATAAAACTAAAACAACTTATAAAATAAAGAAATGAGTATAGAAAAGAAAACGAAAAGAAACTCAAAAACTAAGCTTGGAACTATAATCCATAAATTCTTTTCTGACATGTAGAAAAGAAATGCAAAATAATATATTAAATCAATATGTGGAAAATACATCAGATGCAGCATCAGCAACAGCATGCCATATATTAAAGATGTAGCTCAAACAGAAGAAAAATCAGCATAGAATAGAAAACTAGAGGGTGGCAGCATGCTGAATAGAGAGGCAGCCACACCATATCTCAAGCTTACCTGATCTCGTTATTCAACAGACTAGAAGATACACAAAAAGTTAACTAGATCTCTACAAACTAAGTTAAAAAAGCTAATCAAAAAATCATTTAGTGAGGAAAAGATGTTAATTTATGATGATGGAAATTGATGTTGATGATAAATGGAATAGCATGACATGCAATATTAAACTGCTGTGCATGCTAGGAGTTACGTATGTTTTAATAACTTATCTTAAAACTCTGTCACATACCCACATTTTGGTGCTCATAAGACTCCCAAGTTCTTTCAAATAAAGATGGTAATAATTCAATACTTATTTATTGCATTTTTAGCATTTTATTTCATTTACCATAGACTCCAAATTTTCCACAAAAGTTTTTGCTCACTCTATTAGGTTCTGTGAATGCTCAGGTCTCACAAAAATCCACAAAATACCTCAATGCTTAACAATTAAATCTTCCTTTTACAACTTATCAGACATTTTAAACATCTTATTTCTTACATGTCAAGCTTACAAATTACCAAAAAAATTTGGCATCTCATCTTATTTCTAAAAGCTCACAAAATCTCAAAACATAAAACTCACTAGAACAGCAACCAACTCACCAGAAATATCTACCTCTCATTGCTTACATTTTACCAGGAACATTAGATATAAAACTGCATACAAAACCCCATATCAATAAACAGGTTCCCAGAAATATTCAACATCTCAGCAAGTGCTGACAGCTCACCAGAAAAGTAAGACATGACCATAAAAGTCAAGCATCTCACTTCCTACAGCTTATTATACACATAAAAATATCACAACTGACAATTCACTACATCAAACATCTCACTACTTACCAAAAATCAGAAAAGTTTCAACAAATCATCATTCCCAATAACTCACAAAAAACATCAAACTTTTTATAAGTAAATAAAAACATTTTCAGTAACTTACTGCTTATAAGTCATGTAAAACATTAAACATCTCACTGCTTACAGGTCAGCAGAAACATTAAACATCTAAATGCTTACAGGTCATCAGTAATATTAAACATCTCACTGCTTACAGGTCATCAGAAACATTCAACATCTCACTGTTTACAGGTCATCAGAAACATTCAACATCTCACTGCTTACTGGTCATCATAAACATTCAACATATCTCACAGCTTACAGGTCATCAGTAACATTAAACATCTCACTGCTTACAGGTCATCAGTAACATTCAACATCTCACTGCTTACAGGTCATCAGTAACATTCAACATCTCACTGCTTACAGGTCATCAGTAACATTAAACATCTCACTGCTTACAGGCCATCAGTAACATTCAACATCTCACTGCTTACAGGTCATCAGTAACATTCAACATCTCACTGCTTACAGGTCATCAGAAACATTCAACATCTCACTGCTTACATGTCATCAGTAACAATCAACAATTCACTGCTTACACTTCATCAGAAACATTCAACATCTCACTGCTTACAGCTCATCAGAGACATTCAACATCCTATTAATTATACCTCATTAGTAATATTCAATTCACTGCTTATAGCTCATCAGTAACATTCAACATCTCAATGATTAATAGCTCATTAAAAACATTCAACATCTCACTGCTTACAGGTCATCAGAAACATAGGCTAATCTGATGCAGGGGCTCTAACCAATGAGCCACCAAATTAATCAGATTGCATTTTATGTTACACCATTTTTCCTTGAAAACCTCAAGCAGATTCTTTTGTACCATCTTTGCATTTTTTGGTTGACATCAATTGTAACCAGCAAGGAAAAACATGAATTTAAAAAAAAAAAAAAATCCCCCCCCCCCCCCCCAAGTCTTGCATTTGTCTCAAAACACTCAAATCTCCACATTTAATCTAAAACTTTCCATCGATCCTTCCATCAAATTCCTTTTTAGTATTTAATGTTATGCACTTTTTTGAGTGCCTACATGTACATAAATTTTACACAGCATGTCAATGAGCTATATACTGTATCAAAATCATGCAAATTAATTATATGATACTGTGCAACCAAGTTACTTAAAAAGCTAGGTGTGTCATAAAAAAAATGTTTACTACATTAAAATATAAAGAAAGTAAAACCATATCCAGAAATGCTACAATTTATGCTGAAGTTCTGTGTTATTCCTAATATGGATGTTAAATAGCAGTGATGCCATACCTTGGGATTTTAAACAGAGCTCTCATAGGATGTAGGTCAGACAAGGGTGGTTCCCCATCCGCCAGTTCTATAGCAGTTATACCCAGGGACCAAATATCACAGCGAATGTCATAATTGTATTCCAACTGTCTCTCACAAGCAATTACCTGTAAAATAAAACATAATTGTATAAGTAATAATACATGTATATGGTACCCAATAGAAATTAATCTTACAAATTTTGAATATGAAAAGCAAAACACCCTCAACATTTCTTTTGCAGGAAAAAATGAATAAATATTATGAAAAAAATTGTCCAAATACCACAATTAAGAAATGAGAAGAAATATCAGATAAAGTTATTGTGCCTTGATCTCTTCAACAAATTGAGAAAATGCTGGAGGTAATTTGTGACATCATTATCACACATCCAACAATGGATTCTCCAAACGCTTCAGAAATCAAATACTTAGCACCCATTTAAAAGCACTTTAAAATCAAGACTCATTCAAAAACATGGTCAGTCACACAAAAGATACACTTTTTACCACAAATAAGTCCACATTCAAACTGACTTCATGCACTTTAACTAAGGATAAAAAATTCTCAATTCAGTTACTTACAAAATGGTCACTTTAACTAAAGGATAAAAATACCTATTTCTATAATACATTTCTAATCAATGAAATTCATATCAATCTTACACACACAAACCTTCAGATCTGACAAATTCTTTTGGAACCAGGAAGAAATACTTATAAAGAACAACTGAGACTGCCTTAATTCACAACATGCACCCTTCAGACTAAATACATGTCAGTTGTTTTGACAATGAAAATGTCTTGATTGCTGGTTTACAACCTAAAATCACTTACACCTTCTGTAAAAAGCTTATCGCAGTTGGGATCTACACAGTAAAATGGATGACCACCTCTTAAGCCAATGAGGCATAGCCGTCTGGGTTTGATGACCTCATTCACTGATGAGCTACATGTAGGTTGCAGACAGACAATCAAAAATCAAGGACACTAACAATTTAAAAAGCAGCACCATCATAATGGCATTTGTTAAATATGTTCCTGACAGCACATTAATTTCATCTTGGCAAATCATTATAAATTAATCTATGCAGTTAATTAGCTGTTAAAATCTATACTGATCGAGCTGAATATGGTGAAATATTTTAAGAAAGCCTCAAGGAATATATACATATATTTCATTTATTCCAGACCTCCATTTTTCTTACTTTTGAAAAACAAATTTCTAAATTCTGTCAATGAATACTGCAATCCATGTTCTTTTTTGTCTGCTTTTATTCCTTGATAATTTTTAATAATAAAATGTTCTCTGTTTTAATCATCCTTCCATAATATACAGGTATACATGTATTTCACCTTAAGACTCTCAAATAGTACACAATTATAGCTGTTTTTTGAGGTCAATATGATGATTTAGACACCTGAAGAGTACAATATTCACAGAGCCCGAAAGGTGAGGTGAATATTGTACTTCGAAGGTGTCTAAATCATCGTATTAACCTCAAAAAACAGCAATAACTGTTTTCTTATATGATTATCTATTTTTGGTCCAATGTTGAATAAATAATTCCTTATATTGACCTGGAAATAATACCTTATATTGACCTGGAAGGTCACGTGCAGGTCAATATAACGTAGTATTTTTCTAACATTGTTGGATCTCAGCCAATCAGAGAGATGGGAATTATTCAATCATATAATAAAGATGCATATCACAAGGGATTGGATCAGCAGTCAGAGAGTCCTAACTCTCAATTCTGATCCCTCATATATCTTTAATTGCTCATTAGTCTTCCAACATATATTCAAGAAATTTGGATTTTGATAATATTTGACTGTCTATTACATGGAGTATGACAGCGAGTTCAAGATATTTGGATTTTGACTGTCTATTAGTAGGGAGATTTTTAATCTGAAGTTCCTAGAATATCAGCTTCTTCAGCCATTATTATAGTACCTGTAATACTACCCAAGTTCTCAAGGTCATTTATGAAAGATCAAGGTAAAAAAAAAAAAAGCAATATCTACTGAACACAAAAAAATAAAAAACAGAAACATAATTTTCCTTTTCATATGCATGTTGCTAATTGTACACTAGTGCATACAGGTATAAAAGCTGTATAGATCTTAATATTTACTTCTTGTACAGAACTAATTTGTTGAAAGATTGCAATTTACATGATCATGTAGAAATGATTCTTTTGTTGAAATAGATTAAAACAAAAGCTATGAAAAGAAATCAGGTATGGTTCAAAAGGGGGAGGGGGCCGGTATACCCTTCAATTTTCAGATTTAAAATTTCTATGTAAAAGTAAGAAAAATGGACCCCCTATGAAACATGGATCCCTCTTTAAATGGAACGTCAATTACATTTTTAAAAATTTTGCTTGTAAAAAAATTTCAACATCTGACATATCTTTTAGAGTTGAGAGTTGATGTGGACCCCCCCACCCCCCACCCCCTTTGCTTCCATCCTTAGCAGTGAAATCTTGTCCTTATATGTACATTAATTAACAGCATTATAGTTAATGATTTAAAACATTATACTTAGCAATTTCTAATCTTACAAAGGAAGTAATTAAGTCTTACAAAATACATACTTGTTATCTTGGTTATATCCATTGGCTATCGATTCAGTGTATTACAATAGTTTGGGTTTTTTTTCGAGATTTTAATGGGTGGGCTGACAGTGATAAATCTTCTATATAATCAGCTTATGTAAGAGTTGACACAACAGAGAGAGAGCCAGCCTGTCTTTACTCTAATACATTAAAAAGTGTTGTGGGTTTAAATCTGGTAGACATCTGCTTCTCGGAGGATTGTTATTTTTGATGATGTGTAAGTCTTGGTAAATTAAGCCCCAGTCGATCAGAAATTGTTGTGGTTATCTATTTTGTTTTCTGTTTTTTATAATTATCTATGAACCAATCTGTTTATGACTGGTTTTGCAATAAAATCACATAGTAACAATCACTCAACTTTTTTTCATGGAGGAATACCACATGTAAGAAACAATATGATAATTTATCGACTCTCCCTTATCACTAGTCTTGGTCTCCTATATTTTCTCAGTGAATGAAATTATTAAGCAAATTAATATGACAACTAGCCTATAAAAAGTTTATCCAGTTAAGATTCTACTTAAAAAAGTTCATTAATTAGTCATAAAAAAAGTTGCAAAACATTTAGCTACCAGGCACATTGTGTATCAAATAAAATATTTTACTGAATAAATCTGACACCTAGCTAGCAGGTATGCAGTTCTACCTATGCCATGGTATAGATTATTTACCGGTTTTCGATCAGCATTTTTCTGTTGTGAACTCAAAACTGTTGTCCAGCGATTATGAATAATCTCATGAAATATGGATGAAAAAAGTTCAAATTTTCCCGGAAATGGATAAATTTATTGAATTATATGTTGTAACAATTAATGATCTCAAATTAGTTGTGATTTTGTATTATTGAATGAATTGAATTTGATGGTAATGCATTCAATGTGTCTAATAAGATTAATAGCCATTCCCAGCTCATACACCACAATACTGTCATTCGATCTGTTTATTTTGAAAAATTAATAAATTTGTTTATTGTAAATAAAAAAAAAATAAATGAATAAAAAAAACAGAATCTTAATCTTAACAGTCATATATTTAACTCTTGTGTTTTAGTGGCAATTTATACATGTACACAGAAATTCAAGAAATTAAATTGATTCAAATTTAATATCAAACTACCATTTTCTTACCTTCAGATGTCCATGTTTCCTGAATTTCTCAATTCTACATTAAACTATATCACAAATGTAAGCAGCTGCATATAGTGTTCATTATAGAGCCATGTCTACAGATGACGTGCACTATTGACACAATAGCTCCAACATGTACATAGAGGATTGAGGAACGAACATTAAATCACTTAAGGCAGATAAATATGCAAATGAGGGAGAGTTTCTGAAAGTTAATCTTTATATACCTTCAAAATAATTTTTTTAAAATCTCTAGATCGATCTGTTTAAAAAAAAATATAGGAATGTAATCTGATTTAAAATGGCTTCTTTCTGTAACAAAGGTTAATAAAATCATCAAAAAAAAACTATAACCAATGATAACAAAAAATTTTTTTTATTACCCCCTCCCCCCCACTTATGATCAGATCCACAGGTATATGTGGACAGGCCCCTATCTTTGACCCTCCCTACCCTCATTCCTCTTCCTTGATGATGATAATGGAAATGGCCTGCAATATGATTTCTTTCTTTGAAAACTATTTAATACATATAAGTATAGACTGAAAAAAGGTGGTACAAGTTAGGACTGCACATGCTTAGGACATCAGGTGAAGTGGCACTGCTTGGATTCAAACCATCAAACTATGAAGTATTTTAGGAATGACTCTATTTCTTGGCCAAATTATTCGAGTATAACCTGGTTTGGGTCAGTTTACGCTTTATAATCCACGAAGCGGATTATAAAACAGCGTAAACTGACCCAAACCAGGTTATACTCGAATAATTTGGCCAAGAATTAGAGTCATTCCTTATAATTTAATTTTAAAATCATGAAATAACTATGGGTTTAAAATTTCGTTGCTTTTTATAAGTTCAAATTTGCTGCTCAATAATACAACCTTAGTAACGGAAGTAACGGAAGTGATGGGAAGCAAGGGAAGGTAAAAACTGATACATAGGCCTAGCAGCCTTTTCACATGTGGTAAGAGCGAATTATCGTTTGAAGTTAAAGGTACGTTTATTAAATCTGGAATTTTCCATGAATCTCGAGGACCGGAAATGAGAGGATTGTATGGATACAGATAATTCAGCTGGTTGTCAGGGGGGGGTGTCCCCATACCAAACCAGGTTATACAGAAATAATTTGAGTTCCTTTTTGGATATTAACCAATCAGAGGCAAGAATACAAACAAAATTAAATTATTACCCTATAACCACTAGACCTCTAAACCTAGACTATTCATTGACAAAGCATTTTCTCTCACAATACTGGAGCTGTATTTAAATAGATTACAGTCATTCTTACGATCTTAAAATAGAGAACACGTACATCACAGCACAGCTAAAGGACAGGAGCAGGTTATTATCAATAGCCAGTACAGTAAAGCATGCTTATAGCAAAGTACCAGGAATGAACAATTTGGATTCATTATAAATGTAATTCATTGTATAAATATAATTTGTTATATCCATTAAGTTCAGAAACCATTTCAAAATCATTGAGAATGAAAATCACTATTAGTGTGAATTCATTACATGTATAAGACTGTTTGCTATATAACCATGTGTTTTACTCTATATATACATGTCAAGAAAAAAATCCACCACTTTTCAGATTCATTCAATACACAAATCACTATCCTAAAGTGTCAACAGCACAGAGAACAGGCCCATTTATGAACAGGAAAAACAAAGTTTATGATACATATACATCTAAGACTCTCAGCATCGGGTATTGACAAGTTAATAGACTTGATCCCCTGTGATCAACATTGGATCTCTTCAACCTTATTGGGCCCTTTCTTCATCATTTTTAAATGCAAAATTACATTCAACATCACCAATGTAATTGAAATTTTGACTGCCTTTTTTTTTTGAAAATATCAAAAATAAACAATGATCAAACTGAAAGTTTCATGTCAAATGGTACTCGGCCTCATATACATGATGTATCATTCCCAATCAAAACACAAGATTTCTATTAAACAAAATGCTCTATATAAATGAGTACTTTCTACCGCTAATATTTATCTTCATTGCTATATGATTGATCTTACCTCTGGGGCCATCCAATAGGGAGTCCCTACAGATGTGTTCTTTCTTGCCAGGGTACTGGGTAGGTGTCCCGACACACCTGTCACGAACAAGAGGGAAAAAATCAGATCTCAAATTCTTTAAAAACGAAACAGTAAATTTTTTGTTCAGAAAAATTCCTCTCCAAAAAGCTAAAACCTGCAATCTAGGTGCTTATAATGAACTTCACTTTCTGTATTTGATTAAATCACACCATGAGACTTGAGTTAGGGCTGAAAATAACAAATGTTGGAAACTATTTTATACATGTGTATAGCAGCATATATCTAAATTGAATGAGATCTTGCTGTTGTGTTCAGCTTAATTCTACATCATTTCTTCATAGGACAACTTTTCAATGATGTACAGTCAGGAAATCAATGTTAAATTCTCATAAATATTTATGTTTTATACGTGGGACACTTTAAACTTCCTTCTTTATACGAAACATAAAATTTCAGTGTAAACTTTATCTCATTCCACACAGTTGGAGAGGTATATTGTCATTGATATATTGTTTGAATTGTCAGGCATTTCACATTACCCTTGAAAACAAGAGGCCCATGGGCCACAACACTCACCTGAGTCACTTTGGCCCTGCTGTTCATTATCAACAAATCTGTTTTTTTTTTTTTAAATTTCCCTCTTTAATTTCATAAAACTTTTGATTCCATATTGTGAACCAAAATCTAGCACCCTAAGAGAGGTATGATTTAAAGTTGAATCTATACACAGCATTAGGATGCTTCACTATCAATACAATCAACATGATCACCCTGCTGTTCTGGAGAAGATATTTTCCTGTACACATGCATCATGTAAAATTTGGATCTCTGATTTTGGCCCAACCCTAAACCTCGGAGCGCAAGAAAAGTTAAAAATGATTCCAAATAACTTAGATATGTTTTGTTTTTTAAAATATATGATTTACTTAGTTTTGCCTTGCCAATCTCAAATTGATTTCTTCCTACTCTCTTGTAAAACTCTGATATCCTAGCTATTATAGCCTCAATTATTCCCCATGGCACTGATCTGAACATACTTAAATTTAAATTATCTGAGGATGCTTGCATATCAGTATGACTAATAATGACTTTGTTGTTCATAAGAGGAAGTATTAAGATTTTTCCCTATATATTTTTATATAAAATTTTGATATCCTACTGTTGCCCCACCATACCCCCAGGGGCCATAATTTGAACAAACTAAAAACTACACTACCTGAGGTTGCTTTAATATAAATATGACTAATCATGACTTTGCTATTCTTGAAAAAAAAAAGATTTGTAAAGATTTTTCCTATATATTCCTATGTACTCTAAAACTTTGATCCCTGTTGTGGCTCCAACCTACCTCCTGGGTAATGATTTGGACAAACTTGAATCTATACACTACATAATGAAGCTTCCATATAAATTTTATCTAACCTGGTCTAAGTCAGTTCTATTCAAATTTTTACTAAATCTTAATTATCTCTTGAAAGAGGACAAGGCCATTCATTTGAACAAACTTGAATCCCCTTCATCCAAGGATGTTCTGTGCCAAGTTTGGTTGGAATTGGCCAAGTTGTTCAGGAGAAAATAAAAGTGTGAAAAGTTTAAGATGACAGATGGACAAATTTTGATCAGTAAAGCTCATGTGATCCTTCAGCTTAGGTGAGCTAAAATAAAGGTCTCTACTTAAAGTTAGGCATTTATTAAACTGACTTAAGTCCAGTTATGAATATTATTTAAATGAGCATACCTAACATTGTTTTCCTTAAAAGAAAGGTATCTTTATACCACAAGTTACTGCAAATGTATATACAGGTAAACTTCGGTATCTCGACATCTGATATGTCGACAACCTGGGATATGTCGATGTCCGTCCGCGGTCCCGGCAGTATTTACTATATAAATGATTTGCAAAAACTCTGATATGTCGACCTCGGTTATCTCGACAACCCTGGTTATCTCGACGTATATTCACAGTCCCAAGAGCAAAATTTACCTGGTATATGTCGGCAATTTTCTGCTCCACTGAACCTAACTGTTTGTCAGATAGGGTCGCTCGTCACGCACGGGCGGCTCCGGGTATCTCGACGTCGTCAAAAATTCACACCTTTCACACCCATGTTATGACTGCACGCTGCTTAATTAATTCTATAGACTGTGTTTGTAGGTGAATCCAAAGCCCCCTCAGCGTCTTTGAGACGTTAATTGCTTAATGTTCAGTTTGGGTAATATCACTGATAAATCTACACGATTCTGCTTAAATTTACAGGTGTTTATTTATGTCGAAACCTAACATAACTTTTAAAATTGAAAAAAGATAACTTAATTACAAAGAATAATAAACATATTGAATAAATTCAAACTAAAGAATTAAGCGATGTTCTAATAATATTTTGTAGTTAAAATGCATTCAACAGGAAATAATCCGATTAATGACATGATTTACCGAATCATCCGTAATTCATGCATCTGTAATATCACTACATTAGTTTAGATACACAAATCTCTTAAAAAATTAATATTAATGCACATTCTTCCTGAATGAAATAAGAAAAAAAAAAAATTACGCATTTAATATGTGTTCGTATCTCGGATGTCGACTTTATCATGTTTATACGGTTCAGTTCGAAGTTTATAGAGCGCATTTCGTACCCTGTTCTGACAAAAAAGCAAGTAACGCGAATGCTGGATGGAAAACTACAAAAATTTAGAACGATTTCGATAAAGAGAAAGAACAGGCTTTATAAATATGATTTTTAAAAATAACTTCTTAGATTTTTAATAAAAATAGAGGGATTGCTGAAATAAGTTGACCTACAGTCTACATTGAAGTCATGTACATATAATAAGCTTATACACATGTATGTGTTTGGTTATGCAGTGAAATCTTGGACGTCAAGTCTCAACTCTGATATCTCGACACCTCGGATATCTCGACATTTTCCGATGGTCCCGTCGATGTCGAGATAACAAAGTTTACCTGTACTCTGACTCATTTTTTGACGTTGAATTCATCAAGACAAAATTGATTTTATTTTGATGTTGCTGTTTTTTTTAAAAATGTTTGTATTGGTTAATATGAACAATTTCAGCTTTCATTGAACTAAGAAAGCTACAGGTATAGGCACAGAATCTGCAATATTTTTTATTAAGTGGGTATTCTATCCTGTTCTGCTTGTATACTGTCATATTATGGGTGTACCCTCTCAGATTTTGTGTTTTTCTATTTCCCTTTCATCACGTTTATTTTCCAAGTTTTCTGTTTATTGTGTTTTGCATTATTGATTTTAACGGATTGTGTGCATTCAGAATGAATATATCAACCAGATACAATTACATGTATGATTTTACTGCTATTTTCATGAAAATGATCAAGATGTTCTTCTGTATAATATATATATATATATATTTTTATATACTTAAATTATGCATTAAGAAAATAAATGAAATCGATACATTTTCATTAAATAACTGCATGAAATGAGTTATCAAAACTGAAGAAGACAGATATATTAATGAAAAGTACATTAAATGGCAAGAATTAATTTATTTGTATATATATCTATATCATCAATCAACATCAAGTATTTTGTACAAATCATTATTTTTTTTTCTAAGTGTACTATTTAAATTTGTCATTATTTACTGCTTGAAATTTAGGGATTTTCAAACCAAAAAAAAACACTCACAGGGGCATTGAAAAAACTAAGCTGAATTTGGTCGATACCAAGTTGTGATATGTACTCCAATTTAACTTGGACATTGTATCTAAAAATATTTTTCCTAATAAATGTTGGATTTTGGTTCAAACTCAAGGAATTGAACATCCCTGAATTATTGTCCTTGTATCCTATTCTACAGTATTTTATGTTAAAAATATTGTGGTGGGTACCATAATGGAAATTTTATCTTACTGGTCCATACAGAACAACACATTCCCTTTTGATGACAATTCTTAAAATTACAAAGAGGTGAAGAGTCATAAATTTTCCTAGAAGAAAAATCTCTGATAATTTCAATTGAAAATAAAAGAGTATGCAAAGTCAAGAATCAGTAAATTTTCCTACTTTTTAATTTTATTTTAAATTAGGTGAAGTGGGAAAAAGATACAGTGAAACTTGTCTAATCCTGATGTTGTGTATTGTGAAATCCTCTCTAAAACAGTGCAAACTCCAAGTCCCTTTCAGTAAATTCATTGTTTAAATGGTTGCCTTATCCAGAATGTTGTCTAATCTGGCCAATTTCTATGGAACCAGTGGTTTCCTGATTAGACAAGTTTTACTATATAAAATATGTCATTAACTCTGAAGTTTTTTTTTTTAAACTTTTTTGTGGTTGTGAGAGGAGAAGAGAAAACATCTTTAAGTTTAAGCTTTTTTTCTTTCATTTTGAAGAGGGGGAAAAGAATTAAGTTTACATAGTATATGATAGCAATTTGTTTGTTGTACACATACTGGAGAGGGTTTACATACCGTAATCTATTAGTTTAATCTGTCCTTGATCGTTAATGAGAATGTTGTGACCTTTGACATCTCGATGAATCACATGGTTCTTGTGTAGATGATGCAATGCTTGGAGGGTCTCTCTGAGAATGTGGGCAATAAGGTCCTCCTCCATAAACCTGCCCTGCCCAATCAGTTCCCGGGCTAAATGGGTCACAGAGCCCCGCCCACAAAGCTGTTGATAGAACATACCAGTCAGTATAAAGTTCCTCAAAATTATTCTTTTTAATACACTTAAAAACTTAAATCCCTATTTCATGAAAAGAAAAACACAAAAGCACTATCCAGGGACAATTCAGTCGTGAAATTTTGATCCGACATCCTCGGTTTGCATATCCTCAGAGAATGATTAATGGCATTGGCAATGCAGACAAATTAATACATGTATGCATGCACAACTGATTTTTCTGCATCAATACCCAAAGAAACTAGAGAAAAAGTCATAAAACTTCTACTTCTATGGTAGGAATGTATATATAAGCCTGATTTTTGCATTTAGAACTGAACAGAAAAAATAATGAATCATTATATTATACATGTACTGAAAATTTTGAATTTCTGCATAATCAGTCAAATTAAACATGATCAATCAATTTTTCATTGAACCTTCATAATAATTTGAATTTTTAACAGTTTTATTTACATTTGCTAGCCTTATAGAGCTATTCTATTTTTTTCATATTGGTATATTTAATCATGTGTCCATACAAAGACTTATATTAATGAAATTTTTCTCTTAATTTGTAAGCTTGTCATTGTTCAATACAAATCGAAATCTTGTTTGTAATATACAGAATAATTTAATAAATAATCAGGGTTCATAAATTTTGGCATATCCAGTAAATCTATTCGTGACTTAGTGCGTTGTCATATTTACTGCCAATTAATTAAGTCATACATCTATATATTGCTAAACATTAAAAATTTGAATGGCTTGAAATGATGAAGGACTATCACATTTTTCTCATATAGCATCCAATGTAGCAGAATATTCATGTTACTTATCCTTTTATATATGTTTGTGTGTGTAAATGCATCTTAACTTGGTACCTTAGATCTCATACGTACATTTCATTGTTTCTATCATATGTTAACGTCTCTTTTTCTCCTTATATTATTATTGCTTGTTTCTCTCTCTCTCTCATTTTGTTTTTATTACATGTCTACAGTGACCTTTACAGAAAAGTCCAAACGAAATATGTTTTATTACCTGTCTGAATGTTATAAAATATATTTTTAAAACAGAATACAGCACAAATAGAATACTTCACTAAGGTCTCTGTTTTGCCTGTAGAGTATCTGTTCACTGTACTGTACAATGTGAAGTGATCAATCTGTAGGTTTTACCTTTTTTTAGTCTTTACACATAGATTTTACACAGAGGGGATGACATGTAGTATAAAAATAACATTGATCTAGCAACCAATGTGTTACAACTGAGATAAGTAAAGAAAGGGTCTGAGAAAAGATAATTATCCAATACACTGCATCCATCCAATAGTTTCCTTTGTATTAAGAGGCAGTCCACCGAAAAACCAGGCAGTATTGTATTAATAGGCGGCACATCGAATGTCAGGAATATTTGATATTTTATTAAAAACAATAACAATGTAGCCTAAAAGGAATAATGTAATTGAAGATTTGTTTGATAATTGCTTATTTAGTAAAATATCCTTGTGTTTTGTGTTTTTGAATGCCCCTATATAAACCATTGAATGTAGGTCAGAAACAAAGAACTGTAATTTCTAATACATTTTTCACAGGACTATAATTCACACTTAACTAAATCTAGAAATATTTCAATTTTTTGTTTAAAAAATAAAATCGGTGGGAAAAACACTTTTGATAGTAGTTTTCTGGCAAAATATAAGGACGTTTTTATGAAATTTTGCGATGCAAGAGTTATCTCCCGTGGCATCGGTAAATCTGCTCAACACCTTTTTATCGGAATCCTAGTGAAATATTTAGAATCGATACACTAAAGAAAATAATTAAGCAAAAAAATAAATAATTTATTTTCAAAATATAATTCATTTTCGCCTCCAGACGTAATATTTAGATTAAAATTGGCTCTATTATTCAGGTTGAATCCACGTTTCCATTGATGTATCAGTGACGTCATATACCTGACTAATATTGCGTCACAATGAAATAGTTACAAGTTTCCAGAGAAGTTTGTAAATTCTTTGCGTAAAAGTATAAAGAAAAAGATTTTTAAAAAATGATTTCTCTTTTTCTGTTTAATTACTCTTCAGAGTGCATTATTCTAAATGTTAAATAATATTTTAATATCAAAATGTATTTTATACATGGGCGGCGTCTCAGCTAGATGACGTTTTGATAAGTAATTTTATACATGTCTGAGAACTATTTTTTTTTAACTGATTTACTAGGAAATGCGTAAAAATAATTAATGAAGTGTTTATCATGAACATTTCTTATAAAATTGGGAATCAATGATGAATGTTTTAGATTTACGCAACACTTAATTCAACGAAGTTGAGATGTTTACTTCATGATAGTTGTAAAAACTTAAATATATTTATCTATGCAGTCAAATCAAAATAAACAATCCGAAGTACGATTAAAAATGAAAAAAAAAAAACTGAAAAATAAGTTATAAAAATATATTTATTGAGTTAAACTACTGCTGAACTCCCCACTATAATTTGGCTCTAAAACGGAAGATGGTTTAGTGAAACATTTCGTTTTTTTTTTTAATTTTACTTATTTATTTTTTTAATTTGGCGATTGAAACAATCACACACTCACATTTAATATGGAGTTTAAACATGTGACTATGTTGGCCAATTCTAAAATGTTTTCACGTTCATGAAACCAATTTTAAAAAATAATGATGTCATGAACCCCCCCCCCCCCCCCCCCTGCTTTTTGCTTGCGATTTATCGGCTCTTGAATAATGATACTATATATGAAAGAACTTATTTTCTTATTTATATAAAATCAAATTTTGTAAAAGAGGAAAAGGCTTTACAGATGACAGGTAAGAAAAAACTTGGATAAAGTCGAGACTGTACACATAAAAATATTTCCTGTATTTAGGCAAGTTTAATTTCGCCACTGATAGAATTTACTCTTTAATTCCTGAGGAAATAAAAAAGAAATTTTACTTGGAAATAAGATAAATAATAAAGCTAGAAAGCTGCTTGCTCTCATTTGTTGCATAATGCATGTACAAATACTTTTTTTTAAATACCGAGTATCTATTAAGAATTCAATCAGATGTTTTACATGTATTCTTCATGTACGTAAAAGACATTAGTAATTTAAATAATATATAAATTTGAATCTATGGTTACACTCATTTTAAAACAGTTAACTGACTGATAAGAAATAAAAGACAAGCATATTTTTCTGATAAATTAAAATGAAGAGCCAAATTTAGGAAATGTTTCTAAATTTACAGTAAAAACCGATCCCGATCCGATCGAAAATAATGCAAAATTAACAAATTTATCAAACTAAAGGCACCTGCCACCTATATAACATGTTAAAAAAATAAATCAAGTAAGTTTTTACTCATATTACAACAAAAGAGCCAAATTTAACATTACAATTATAGTATTTTTTTCTTTATATAATTCCGGTCGGGATCGGTTTCATTTGGGAAAATTATAAAAAAAAAAAAAAAAAAAAAAAAAAAAAAAGGTAAATTTGACTCCTTTTATTTCTTTCAATATACCTGTTCCCACTGATTTTATTGAGTGATTCAAAAGTTTGTACTTTGTATTCATAATAACATAAGAAAAAAAATCTGTCCTTGTAATGTATTGGGTTTTATAACGTAATGAAAATTGGATACTGAATTCAAAAAGTTACTTGCTTAACTCAAATTTGGACCATATAATTTTTTTCTAAAGAAGTATAAATTGGAGTCTTATTCATTAATAAAATAAAAGATAAGAGTCTATTCTATAAATAATATTCATCGACACATCTAGCTTTTTAGTATCTGTTACATATAAAACAAAATAAAAACGTAGTAATTTTTTTTACCCTTATGTTGACCTTTTTGCACTTAAAATTAAGCATTTACCAAAAATAGGACTAGAGGAGCACTAAAATTTTTTTAATGTTGTCATGTGTAAACACTTGCTTTAATAAGTCTACATGCAAAAAATAATTAAAATCCATGACATGCGATGTGCCACCCATTGCCTGGTTTTTCGGTGGACTGCCTCTTAATTATTCAATCATTAAAGCATAATGTGCAAAGTTATCCAGAATTTTGTTCATTTTATATATTAAGCATAAATAAAATATCTTTGACAAACTTCTCTAGAACAAACTTGTGCATCAATTATTTTTGTCAATTGAAAGTACATATTTTGTCAAATATGTAAAAAAAGGTCATATTAAAAGTACTGGTACACTTCAATAAAAACAGAGAGACAAACAGACATTTAGCAAAGCATTCAGCCTTCACTATGCAGAAACACCTTGTAACATGTTTTTTATCCCTACACACTGACCTCCATTGCCATCCAGACCTCTGCGTCGATTCCATTTGTGGGCGGTTTGAGGTAGATGCCGTAGAAGCGTGGTATGTTGGGGTGGTTCCCTAGGTCACGGAGGACTTGATACTCCTCCTCAATTTCCTCTATCATCTCATGTATGGACTCTAACACCTTCATGGCCACCACTTCCCCTAAAAACCAGGAAATGTAGCTTTGTTTTATTGTTTGTTAAAATTTAATACCTCAACTCTGTTCCTTTTAATTTCCAAAATATGTTTTAATATTGTGCATAAATGTCTCTGATTAAACATTTGATGTGATCATCTCTAGGCATTTCCATTTAAATACAATCTATTCATCTTGAAAAAAAAAACAAAACTTTATAGTCATTTGTCCAAACTCATATATTTCATAAAACCAATATATTAGCTATAAGCTAAGTAATACGTTCTTTAGTTAAGTAATATCAATGTTCAAAAGAATTCTTTTCCTCTGTATATGCTTTGATCACTTACAAATTAAGTAGAATTACAAACTTGAAATTTTAACCATTTGCTACATCACATAAGCACCAACTGACATCCTTGTTAACATTAATCAGGGTTCTCTTAGTTGAGTACAACAGTACTCACCAGACTCCTTGTGTATGGCTTGATGGATTTCTCCATAGGTTCCCTCCCCTATCAATCTCTGTAGCTCCCATGATGTCCTGGGGTCAGGAAGCTCCGAAAATTTGATCACTTGGCTGTACTGGTCTAGAATGGACAGCATGACCACACACTACTGGTCAGCTCTGAAAGAGAAAACATTGGCTGAGTCAGAGGGCAGTATCTCCCCGATTAGCTTAGATAGGCATTATCAGACTTCACACACCCATATTTTATGCTTCACTCTGTCTTTCTGATTTACATCAATTTCTTGTTAGATTCTCAGAAGGAAAGAAGAGAATGCTCTGAGTAATCAATTTTATCTCATTACTTATGATAATTTACAAGAAGATATCTTAAACAACTTTTATATATACATGTATTTCTACCTCATAATGAGCTGATCAACATATCTTGTCATCATAAAAATCCCTCTTTCATGAAATACTTCAATGAGGTAAAGACAGATAAATTTAGAATGCAACAAAAAATGCACATGCAGCATAAATTATATTCCCATGTATAAATTTCCATGTTTACAGTTAATATTTATATCTACCACATAATTTTTTTTTGAAATTCTACATGTATCATATGGCTTACTGACCCTAAAATTCAACTTGAAATTAATCATTTGAATCATTTCCTCTAACTTACATTCCAAAGTTGTTTCCCCTCTTTGAATGTGCACTATATATACAGTATTTTATCTTCTTTGAAATTATAATTTCTAGCCTTGAGACCCATATTTCAAAGAAAATTAAATCTTTATCAGAAATTTGATTTCAAAAGATGTAAATAAGGAGTCAGCAACCTGCCATTAGGTAAAAGTCTCTAGACCTTCAGGGGATTTAAAAATCTCAAAAGGTTAATATAAAACGTACACAAAAAGATGTGTACACCCACAATGTAAACTTGACAAATCTCCAGTGTCCCTTAGCAAGGATATTTGAAGCAAGCATAAAGATTATCAATGAGCTGAAGACTTAAGAAATACTGTAAGGCATGGAAACTCACATCCTAGCTTTTATACACATGTATAAATTTAAAAGAATATTAAATAAATTATCAATGAAATTTCACTTTTTTGCATATTAATTAAGATATCACCGATTACTATTAATGTTCTTCATCAATATTTCATGAACTAATTTCTTTTTTTTTTTTCAAATGACCCCCCAAATGCCCATATGACAATTCTGATAAAAGGGAAATAAAAATCAAGAAATGTCACCATGCATTTTTTTTTGTGTCAAGGCTAAATATTCTTATTCATTCATCTATATTTTTTTTAATCTGTTATGTTCATTTTCTATTTATTTATGTTCAGATTTGTTAATTGCTATTAATTTGCTATTTATTTATGTTCAGATTTTTTAACTGCCATCTAGTCATGTTTTGAAGTGTTCTTAATGACAGATTCCAACATGCTGCTTAAATAATTTATAATGCAGAATGTGAGCTTTAATAAAACAATTTAATTGTTTTGTCATGAAATTTGAAATAATTTCTAAAAAAAAAAATCTAAATTTTATCTATTGCATACAAGTCACCCGTACACTCTTTAATATCTAGTAAACAAAACCTAGTAAGGACTTAAAGAAAGCAGATAACACTATATGTACTATATACAGAATTCCCCAATAAAAGAAAGTTAATTGGGTCTTTTAATATTTCATACATCTCAATACACCTGGGATAATTACCTTCACACAAGATAACGCCAGGCCCCCCTCATAAGAATCAAGGGTAAACTGGTACATCTTATATGCAAGTAGAACTATTATGTAATCATCAAACATCAAATATTATAGCTCATTCTTTGACTTCCCATAAAACATGCTGGTCAAGAAGTAACAATTATGCACAAAAGTCTCAAATTTTCTAAACTGATTGCCAATACATCACAGTAGTGACCATTATGTGTCCAAATAAATGAAAGTTGATATACTACACCTGTATAAAATCAATAGCTGCCATCAAACACACCCAGAAAATAAGTACATTTCTCCCTTAAGCTGAGCGCCTTAGCTTTATAGTTTTATCTATATCCAGGTGTGGGGGCCTAATATTGATTTTTATTCCAATTTATCTTGCAGTCATGCACATTTTATTATTCTTGGTATTTTTCAAGCACTACCCTGATAAGACATTATTGCATATCAATAAAACAGATGTAGCTGACCAAAGATAAAAATATTCAAGTTATTCATTCTTTAGATATTCAATTGCACAAGAAGACAATTTTAAAACAGAGTAGCTTACAGTCAAAGCTTAAAAATCAATAGTGATTTTTTTTTAAAAAAAATTATTAGATTTTTTTTTAGATTTTTTAAATTTATTTATTTTCTGCTTATACACTAGTATAAATCAGTGAGTTAATTTTCGTTTAATGTCTTTAATCGACTTACAAAAAATAATTTGTATAAGAACATGTAAGTTGAAAAAAAAAAAAAATCAGCTGATATTATGACTGATTATATATGACTGACTATAACTGCATGGACACACAGAACATATAGCTCACATCTTGTATACTTTATAAGGACATAATATATGTTTTAGTCTTGTAATTCTACAGATACATGTACTTTCAATTATCTTGTGTATTCAGCTAAATCTTTCTTTTATATGAACTAAATAATGATGCAACTAGATTTCCTCCTTTTAGAAGTCAGAAGATATTTACCACATCCAAGCAAAGCAGCAAAGCTACTTTGGAATCAACATTTCTTCCTCCTTCGATCCCTCCCTCCCCTCTTCAAGGACTACAACTTAACTCATTTCAAATAAAAAAAAAAAAATAATTGAACGACACATGATAATGTAACCAATTGAATGCCTACCAAAAATTATATATTGAGGCTTTAATCTGCAAGAATCGTTTGATCACCATGTTATGTTTAGCAAATTCTGATGTGGTTACAGGCAGCCTTTATTCAAAAAAAAAAAAATTCGGTTGAAAGAAGTTATTAATTTTCACAGACAGGCCTACTCCACCACATACAGTTAGCTCATCGTTATGTCTCAACTTTTTTGTTTGTTTTTGGTTTTTTCTATGCATTAAAGAATAAGATTTTTTTCTGCTTAATGATGTGTGTACATCATGTATATATAATAAATAGACAATTACAAATTGGATCTCCTACCACAGTATATTAGCAGAAACATAACATTTATTAAAAGATTCATTTAAAACTTTAAAAGCATCACTCATCCATTGGAAAAATAAACAATATAATATATTTGTTAATATTAAGATTTGATTGTACATGTAATTATCAGCTGTTTATGACAGTTTCGAAATGATAGGGAGGGGTCACAAATACAACAGAGGCCGTTCGGGTTATACTTACCTTTCGTTGCTATTGTGTACACTTTTTTGTTCCGCTTCCTTGAGAAAAAATTACACACAATCTTATGATGTATCCATGTTTTGTTTATATTCACTGCTAATAGCCCGATTCATCACATGTCGGGAAAAAAAACAAACCTGTTTTTATTTTTGGCTCTCGTGTATACCAAAATCTCACCTGAGTTCATTCGCAACACCTCGGGCCTTTCCGATTTCATTAGACTAGTGCTGGACTTTATAAGATTGTACATGAATATTCAAAGGAAACTGACTTGTATTCTTCTCGCTCATATGCCAAGAAAGAGAGAGAAATCTTATAAACTCGGAAAATCCTAGTTTTAAAAGTCAAAATACATGTATTTATACTATAATGAAATGGTATGTAAGACAAACAGTCCAAGTAAAACCAGGCCCGTAGGAAGCAATTCAAATGGGGAAGGGCACAGCCAACATTTTCAGTTCGGGGGGGGGGGGGGGGGGGGCACTACCCAGCAAAAATAACTTGACAAGCCAAAAAAATGTCATCAAACGTTATTATTGAGGGGCAGGTACAAGCATAAAGTAGCTATATTTTATATAATATGCTACATATCGGCAAAATTATTGGGGGGGGGGGGGCATACATGTACTCTTTCATGAAAACTACTACTCAACCTTGTGTCATTACAGTAATCCGCTGTTGTCTGGAAATTAACAGTTTCAGTGCATGAGTTATAATTTTACAGATGACTGGCTTAAGTTAAACTTGTCTGTTTCATGATCCCGGGGTCACTAAATAATTAAATCTAGGATCTCTATACTTGCAAAATAGCTGGGTCACTGAATACAGGAAGGTCAAGATTCGAAATCTTTTTTCCACGAACGGAAGTTTGAAACGTTTGAGCGAACCGCACTGAAATTTAATCCAGCCTGGAGAACTGATAGAAAGGTAAAGAAATAATACTAATACCTGAGTTTAACATCATATTCTATACTAATTTTTGTATTAGAATTTCATATACTTTATTTATTGCTGTATGTAAAAATACACTTCAATTAAATTATGAGGATTTTTTTTCTCCTTATCAAACTACATCTACATGTATAATAAGAGAATTATTTAAATGAAACGAACATAAGAAAGAAAGAAATTACAAACACATCTTCTCTAAGAAAATTTTTAACCAAATTAAACTTGTTTTCTTTTAATGCAATAAAAATTTAAAATGTTATTTACATCATGTTTAATTAAAATTTAAATGTGTGTTTTTTTTTTAATATAGCGAACATCATGCCTGTGTCCTTCTCTGACCCCTACTACACAGAATACACTTGTAAGAACAGTTGTACTAACTTCTGTATATCTGTCGGATGTTACAACTGCTGCCAAAAGTACTACTCACATATTGTTATGGGTAAGTTAGGTCTTCAACGTTTCCTTCTTTGTTTGGTATTAGGTAAGGTATACATTTATATGTAATTGTAATCAAAGGACCCTTACTTTCTAATTTAAAAAAATATAGAAACTAGAACATTCCAACTATCTAATTATTCAAAGAGCAAATTATATTAAACTGAAATTAAATTTATATTATCAACTTTTTGAAAATATCAAGGAGTATAATAAAAGAATGTAAAATTCAAAATTAATTAAGTGTTCTTTTGAATTTTGTTTGCTTGTACTTGCAGTCTTTGCTGTGGCAATGTCTGTTTTTGGTTTTGCTGACCTTATTGTTGGTAAGATTTTTATAGATGTTTATTATCACTCCAACACTGCATCTTATATTTTATAAACAATTCTCAAAGAATTCCGCTCACATTTCAATCATTTGATTTGATATATGTTACTTTTCAAAGTTTGACTCAAATGCATTGGTTTTCCCTCGTAACTTACAGATGATGGTATTCTGTCTCTTGCGTACTATAAAAAGGATATCTAGTTCTGACGTCTGGGTAGAGACACATTATCTGGACTTTGTGTTGTCGCTTCACTGCCTTCTGACTGTTGCTGGGTAGCAATTTCCTCCACTGACATATGGTTTCCAACTGAGACATAGATGTTTTGAACCTTTAAAATCATAACGTCAACATTGTTCAATTTGTGTGTCTTAATTCACACTGTGTGTTGTGCGGCTTCTACGCATAACTTTTTGACAACTACCCTTTTGTACATGTGTTTCTGTTATGGATTCCAAAACCTTAAGTCATTTACCACACATTATAGATGGAATCCATGATATCAAACTTTAATGGCCGGGTTTGTCTTACATCCTCTCTGGTCTTTATTGTTCTCAATACTTTCATCCTTCCTTCATGGACTATGTAGCAACCTTCTCGTGGCATTGTTAGATCAATGATGTTCTCTTGTCTTCAGATCAAAACACTAGGTTTGGCCGCTGTATTTACTGTGCCACAAAACAAAAGGGAACATGAGTTTCCAATCAAGATATGTCTGCATATGCCAAGCGGATCGATGTCATTTGATGGGTTGTGTCACTGGCACAAATAAAGGGAATCTCTGTTGATACCAACTTGATGCTTCGTCTGGTGTTCTTCCTCTCTTTCTCGGATGTGTCTGCCAAGACCAGAAGCACATTCTCCTGTCTCTACGTATATAGTCCTTGTTGGAGTGCCATCTTGGATCCAGAAAGTATTTAAACAAGCGTTGATCTTTCTCATCACAGTTTGTAATCTGCTAATTCTGTTAGGCCCTGTTCTTGTCTGCATCCATGTCTCTCTGACTTTTGCATCATGGGAGTCCCTAAGTGCCAAAACCAATAGACAATCTGTAACCTTTTACTACAAGCATTAACATTCTATCAGTAAAGAAAATCGCTTCATAATGCTGTTGTACAGACTGATGAAAATGAAACTGCCGAGACTCCACCATCGACGAAGACATCAATAATTACTTATTTTTCCATAGCCTTTGCTGTTGATGCTGGAATTTTATATAAAAACATCCACACAAACCTGGGCAAGGCACAATTTTGGTAGATCAAGGAAGGCCAGTCTTGTTGTCTTGTCTACTGGAGAAGGTGGTCTTTGACGATCTTCTTGTTCTTCTTGTGTGTGTCGTCTTACCACTTGCCCAAGCACTTGACTATATTCTGGATGATAGTTGGAATAACTTCATTCTACAACCTTAAGTGTTAATCTTTCTGCAAAGAGCTTCTTCTTCATTGTCATGACTTTTGAATTCTTCGTTTAAATTCTATCCTCACCCAAGGAAATAATTCTTCAAAGGATTTTAAGACTCATCTACTTGCACATCAGTGGTTTTGGTTATTGTCAAGTCATCCATAAATCTTCTGTTTGACAGTATATACCGGTAAAAATGCCTCACTGAATCGCTATCAAAACAGGAAAGGTGATGCTGTACATCCTCTTACTATCCATTATCAAATCTTGCAAAACAGAGCAGTTGCAAGTCAATGAAGGTAAACAAAAACTTAATATCACCTATAGTAGGTGTTTGCAAAATTAACTGTGTGTGATGGAACCTTAGTAATGTACAATGTAGCATGCCCCCTTTGAAGAGACAGAGTGATTTGCGTTCGCTAGATCTAAACACACAAATCAAGTCACCTTTCTCCTCCATCCCTCAGCGTATCGGCTGAGTAAAACAACCGGGAAACCCCGGAATATCACATTTTTTAATGGAGGTAGATGGCAGTCATGTACATTGTCATGCTCTTTGCTGAGCCGAAAAGAAACTCTTCCCTTCCAAACCCTGTAGTGAGATGGTTCCAAACTGGCTGATGCTCTTTGAATCTTCTTCTCTAGGAAGTAAGCATCCTTTTTCTCTCATCCACCATGTTGGTACTAGTTTTCCTCCAAATCGTTTTGATAAACTGGTACAACAAGGCATTTCTTGTACACCTTGCATGGGTTGGCGCTTGGCCTTGGTGCCAATCCAGATCATGCCTTTTTCACCTCCTCCAGCCTTCTTTCTGTGCTTCTGTTTCTTTGCTCTCCTTGTTCTCCTTGTAGCACAGCGCTTTGTCTCTTGATGTTTTCCATAAACATATTCTGCAGTTTTCTAATATCTGTTTTCTCCTCAACAGTTGCTTTCGGTGGTTTCTCGATAGTTCCTTCATCTCAGCTCAGCGTTTATCTCGCTTTCTCGTCTATTGTATTTAATCTGGACCATCACGGAAGTTCAGTCGGAAGAGCACTCGCTCCGTGATCGGAAGGTTTGCGCCTCGGCCGCGACAAACCGAAGTCGATAAGAAATAGAGAGCTGTTCCTTCGCCAAGAGCTCAGCACTTTGAAATGAAATTTGCGGGTCTTTCGGATCAGACCTTGAAAACCGAGGCCCTGGGTTGGCAAGATATTGAAACTTCAAAAGCCTGAGTACCGAATAAAGGTGTAAATTTGACTACATTCTCTGGCATATGGTGGCGACTGATATGAGTGATGTAATCTACAAACAAACAATCTATCTATCTATTGTATTTAAGCTGTTGCTGCTGAGGTCGCTTTTCCTTCACCTTTGTACCGATTCTCTCTTGGTTGAGATTAAATAAGATGGTGGTGAGTGACCTCAGCTTCCTTTTAAAAATACCATGCATTCCTGTATTGCGTATAGTAATAAGGTCAATACCTGGGCACACTTGTCATAGTCCATGCTGGCCAGTATATTATTATGTTCTGCCCTGGCTTTCTCAGGCTCGTTTTCAGTCTGTAGGTCGCCATGGATCAAAACACTGCCACAATCTGAGTCCGAAGCTGAGATTGATTCTTAGTGCTGTGACATGGCTCCTCACCAGATTTAAGCAAGCTTTGTCCTGTGGGCTGCGACTGACTTACACTATGATGGCATGTGGGTCTTTAGGACTCAGAGGGTTTTGCAAACATTCCTGCATCTGCATCTTACTTTCAGTGACTCACCGGTAAGGGTTGTGTGAAGTAATTTCGTGTTCGGTCGTCCTTTGTTGATGCCGATAAATCAATAAAGATGAGTCTTTCATCCTCACCCCTTCTCCGAAGACTCTTCGGGTGTTCCTTTCCTTAGGGCTTCATAGCTTGATAAGGTGTCTTATCAAGAAGACTGTACATGGGGTTGCAGACCCAATGCACGCTATACCAGTCTGTGTCCGCCTGCCGTCTGTCTCTCCATCCTCCCTGATTTTCCAAAGTTGCTATTCAGTCTATTCCTGGAAGTCACTGGTTACCCAGGAAATCGTTGATAACTTGCAGATGATAGGGCTCTGCTATTTAATAGTCTGGTTACCTGCTTCTGACGTCTGGTATAAAGTTCCTAATCTGGACTCTGTGTTGTTCTTCACTGCTCTCTGACTACTGCTGGATGGTACGTTCTGCCATTAACGTCATCAGATGTTTTTCAACTGTTACTGGACCCTTTAAAAACCCGCATCTTACAGGTGGTGGGTCTCCTCACTGCGTGTTGTGCGGCTTCTACTCTTTGGCATCTCTTATGTGCCAAATTCATCATGAAGCCTTTTCTGCCTTCACACAATCTAATTAAAATTAGATTTTTGATCCGCTCCAACACCCTTTGATTCACAGATTCCAAAGGTTTTATTCAACTCAAAGATGAACCTGCATAATTATTCTACCAAGCCGATCCATCCAACATGCTGTTGTTTTTTGTTTTTTGTTTTTTGTTTTTTTTTTGCTCAAATTGGTTAGTCATGAACAAAGGGAATCTCTTTTTATTCAGTGTTGCTCTGTCTGATGTCCTTCTTTGGGGACTAACAAATTCTCTCTCTCTCTGATAATCTTATCCATATTATTTGATGATAGTTCAAAGCATCACTTTTCTTTAAACAGATGAACGTCGTAAATATTACTATAGTAAATTTTCCTTAAGATGCTGAGTTGTAGAAAATTCCAAGCACTTCTGATATATTAAATACTGGTATACAATTTTCATAATTCCATCGATCACTGATGTTGTTTCTTTCATTTGTCTAGTCGGAATGTAGTCATTTTTCATCTCAATCTTTTATTTTTGCAGGAGGACAGCTAGCCACTAGTTGCCCCTACAATGGCGCAATATATTCCACCTTGATGTTGGCTCAAGGCGTCATTTCTATGATTGAGGGCGTCATGATATTCTATACCATTGGGCGTGCACACGAATACCCTCTCTTCCGATCGGGACTTCCCACTTTTCAGTATGCCTTCGTGACGTACTCTCTTACAGCAATCCTCTACATCTTTTCATTGACTCTAAGTGGCCTCCAACTGAAAGGTTGATAAAAATAAAAGACATAAAATTAGATACTGAATTAGATATTTTTGTAACTAAATTTAAGTCTTTACTATATCTTCGAATATTGACTGTCAAAAACTATATAAATGACCTTTGAACTTTGAAGCATGTGAACTATATTCTGAAAAAAATCTTTTTTTATTTAGTAACTGAGGGAACAGTAGAATCCAGCTGTGCTGACTATCATGGCTATATAACCTGGAGGCTCGTCTTCAACATTCTAGTTCCGGTGTCGCCAATTGCGCTTGTATTGACTATTCTTGCTATACTATTCGTGTTGATTTGTCTGGCAGGAGGTAGCAAAACAGAAGATAACTGATGTACAAGGATGTCAGTGATATGAGTTCCACAGAAATCTACAAATTATATATGATGCATAGTTATACGAATTGTTGTTTTTTTCTATATGCTTTGTAACACTTTACATAATTATGTCTGACAATTCGTTTTAATTCCGACTACCAGAATGAATTTCAGAACCTTTTGAAACGAACTGAAGAGAAAAATAACCTCAGACAGGGCTAGCAGAATTTGGAGAGAAAGGTGGAGACTCGAGGAACATAGATAATGGTTTAAGGCTCCAGGGTGGTGTTTTTGTGACATTTACTGTTTATCAATGAAAAATTATGCAGTATGACTAAAACAGTAACCAGTTGGATATGGCCATTATCTCCAAATTGTTCAGTAAACTTAAAGAATTAACGAGAACGAGTAGGACGTGGCCGGTAGTACACCCAGCCTCCGAACTGTCCAGTAAAACTGGACAGCAGTGCTTAAGAGAAATTGAAGAATGAGTTAAAATGACAGGTGTTGACAATGAGTGAAAGATGAGAGGTACAAATTAAATGATTGATTGTATGTTGTTTAACGTCCAATTCGAGAGTTTTTTCACTCATACAGAGACATCATCATGTACCGGTAAAGGGCTTCAAATTTAGACCTTTACTTGACACCCAGGGCCGTTTGACATAAGAGTTCTTTATCGTGCCAACGCCTACCGTGACACAGGAGGTCGGTTTTTAAGGCTTCTTTTGACCTCAATTCTTTAAAAATAGGTCTTTGTTTTGTAAGGCTCATTATTTTAATTGTATTTTAGAGGAACTAGAATTTAATTCTGCAAGTGGTTATCCAACTTATACCCATAGCTCTCTTTCTAAGGAGGAATTTCTTCAAAACCATATGTCAGTTTTTAATATTTCTGATATTCCCAACAATCGAAATGAATTTGAATTACAGATCTGTACCATACCTATACTGGATTCCAAAACTCCATAAAAATCCTTACAAAGATACATAGCGGGTTCCAGTAAATGTCCTACCATATCTCATTCTTTACTCCTCACTGAAATATTTACAGCAGTGAAGGAGAGTTCAGGAGTACTGTATAACAGTATATTCCAGAAGTGATGTAAATCAGATGTTGATACTTGAAGGGGCCAGGAGACAGTCGCATAGTTTACAATTTTAAACGTCTATTTTTTTTTATAATATAACTTCAGTTTAATGATTTAACTTCAATGAATATAATATCACGTCAAACACCTGTGTCTGTAAACAGGGCACGAGTTCTGTTATTGTTAAGCGTTTACCTTTTACCGTTGTGTTCAACTTGTTTAGTATGCACACATAGCTGAGCACGGACTGATAATACTGACTTTTTCGCATTTCTGCTCTGAATTTTCTGGATTATAGTTCTCATGTTTTTCATTAATACACAACAAAATTTCTACTTTTCTTAAGTAATATAAATAAAGTTTACTTTGTGAAAGTGCAAGGATATGTGTCAATCCAACGCGTTCCAAAATTCTTAGTTTTAATAATTTCCAGACAAAAGAAGTTTCTAAACACCCTTTTAATATATTTCGGTGTGAAATGCTCTTGCAACTTATAAGTCATGTGATTATTTAGAAAATTATAGAAAATATGAGCTTCAAATCTTTGTCCCAGTCCCATAAAAAAAAATCATTAGAACTTAGAAAATTTGAAATCGCAAAATTTTACCAAAATCAACAATATCGAAACCTACGACTTTTCAACACTTTTTTCTACCATCCCCCTCGATAAATTAAAGTCCAGGCTTTTTGACATCATAGACAGCTGCTTTTTCAATAAAAATGGAACTCGTAAATATACATACATTGTCAATGGTCATTTGCAAAATTATTCTGTTAAAACATTTTGATTAATTGTACACACAAGTACTCTGAAGCTGATATCAAAAAGATGCTTGAGTTTATGATTGACAATATCTATGTAGTTTTTGGAGACCAAAGAAGATGGGTGAACAAGGCGGGCGAAGTGCCTATAGTGCGACAAACATGAAGTGAAAAATAAAATCCCAATTATATCAGAATTTTCTTTGATATTTCATCTAACATTAAAGTATACTTTATGTAAAATCTCTGCAATCAAAATTATTTGCCTATGAAATAGCATACACACACTAAAGAGGACAAAAAAGGATCATTTTATCATACTTTAACAAAAATTTTCGATATGAGTGGATCTTCGCTCCATTTTTTTGAAAGTTAATCCTAAAAGTTTGCATAAAAATCTACATTTTTTGGTTTACAAAAATATGGAGCAAAGACCCACTATACCTTAAAAGTATACTTTTATGACAAAGCATTCACATCTTTCCGAGAAATACTTAGAGTCCATTTAGTCAAGGGTCATATCACAAACATGATTTAAATGCCACAATTCATCAGGAGCTGTGTAGCGTAGTGGTTAGCGTGTTAGCCTCAAAGCAATATGATACTCCGTGCTTTATTGCTAGGGTTCGAATCCCACGAATACCATTTTATTTTTTAATAAAAGAATATTTTTTTCCGAGATCTTTTTTTTTTCTCAGAAAAGTTTTCTTGATCATAATTTCACAAATTTCAATAATGAGAACTTTACTTAAAATACTTTATTCACAAATTGAATGATTTTTTTTATCTGAAGCTATAGGCATTCTGCACGCCTTGTTCACCCATCTTCTTTTCTACATGAGAAGAAGAAAACGTTTGTTGTGGCCTTCAACTCGACATTTTGATATATCGACGACGTATCATCAATAAATAATAGTTACTTCCATATATACCGGGTATGTCGATTCGATATACCGTATAAGCAGAATTTTTAGCGAGGGTTTAATTTTGGCATTATTAACGAGGGTTTTGATATCGCTAAATTTAAATATCGCTAACAATTCACTCTATATCAATTGTTATAGCTTTTTCTCTGAACATTATAACATCGCTAAAATTACTTCTCGATAAAAATACATTCCAATTTTTATGGAAAAAAAATCGCTAAATTTGTGTCTCGCTAAAATTCCACTTATACGGTATTCCAGTGAACTTGAAATAAAAGGCACCACAGAGTCTCAAACATCTGTTTCATATTAAGATATTTAACTAGAGAAAGACGTTAATGGTAACGTAACAACAAAACTTCATGTCAATGTAATGACTTCAACTTTACTATCGTCAACTTCCCTTACTTATGTAGTGCTAAATATACCCTTATCACATGCATATGAGGTTTATGTCTCCCAGTTGATTCGATATGCACAGGCCTATAGATCGCGCCCCCTTTTTCTGAGTATAGTATTTTGCTATAGTAAATTTTCCTTTAGATGCTGGTTGCCCCCCCCCCCCCTCCACTTTTAGATGTTGTAAGATCAAGCACTGGCAAATTCAAGTTTTTGAACATTAAAAATTAGTAAATTAGGGGGGAAATGGGTTTTATTTGTGCTCGTTAGATGATTCTGGGAAGTTGCCCCCACACGTTTGGTCAGTTTAGGGGGTTTTTTTTTCTTTTGCTGGTCAGAAGTCCCCTCCCAAACTTTTTGAAACCGTTGCTAAGGGCCTGATGCAAGAGCATGCTCTACGTACGACCAATTTTTAAAACGAGGTAAGCTATTAACCGAACAAGTTGATGATACAAGGATATCAACAGTCTCGTTTGAAGTCATCATTTTGCAAGTTCTATGGTCGATACAATGACCCTATCCGCAAATACAATCTATCATTAGGTCAAATGCTGGCTGACGTTTTTTCATTCTTATTGTTAGGCCATTATTTACACACTGATATTACTACGGATTTTTTCCGTTTACCCGATCATGACGAGGAGCACACGGCGGGTGTGACCGGTCTACAGGGGATACTTACACCTCAATGGCACCTGATCCCGCCTCTGATGTTCTTGAAGGTCCTTGTTTGCTCTGCTTTCGATTTGTATTGTTTAAATGGACAATGATCTTGAATACTATTCGTTATCTCAATATTTCATTCAAAGGCCCGTGACTTTCACTTCTAATGCAGGGTGCTTTGCGAAGGAATAGTTAATACTTATGTTTATGTCTTAGGTTTGACGCGGCACGGCGAACGAGAATCGAACCCTGGCTTCCCGATCACAAAGCGAAAGCCCTACCACTAGGCTACCGTGACCCGTGGTACAAATTAATGAAATGTTTTGATGGCATGAACATCTTGAAAAATTTGCAATAAAAAATTACATTATATTTGCACAAGTTATTAGAACTCTGTTGTCCGATAAGTGTTACTTGGTAAATAAATGAGGAATTAATAAATTGACATGAGAAAAATTTGTAAAATGCAACTTTAATTTAATAATATTGATTTACAAATTAAAACAAAAAAGAAAGAATATTTCATTTAGTTAAACATTGTTAAAGTCCAAAATGAATTAAGAGTAAAACAGTCAATTTCACACGGTGATAGTTTCTCACAGCTCCGGAGGAAACGCGCCCTCGTATCTGGAATGAAAATCTTGCTCAAAGTCGGTAACCGATTGTTTTTAAAAACAAGTTCCTTAGAATTTGTAGTTAGATACTGTTGGTGACAAAAGGGAAAGGTCTTGGAATTTTGGTTCAGAAAAATTATTTGGTTTGCCATCAGGTAGGTATCGAGAATGGTTATCTAGTGTAGTTGTCCATGGTTGTGGCAGCAGTAGTAGTTTTCCATTGTTGAGCTGGTTGGTAGAACAATTTACTGGGGAACTCGCTTGCTGTTGAGGTTGGGGTCTGACTACTGCAAAATATATGCAGTATCCCCAGGCACTGTTATCCGAATTCTCCAATTTATGACCGCGTAGTTTGGGTCTAAAAGCGTATTAAGTTGAACTGGTAAGATGGAATGTTGGCAGGGTAAAAAGTGGCGCTGTGGTCCGGAAGTAGACAAGCTCTTCCTGAAAACACAAGCGAGTCCAAAGTAACGAGAAATATCATGGTTTCCGAATTTGTTAAAATTTGCAAAGAACTTTTAGAAACAAAAAGTTCATTAAGACTTTCTTATGTTAGCTATTGATATTCATCATAGTATGTTGATACTTTTGCAATGACTTACCAATTTTACT